CCCATAAATCCCAAGGATTGGACACATTATTACAAACATCTATTAAATGAGAACAGAGACGAATTTAAAGAAGATACGAATTCATCAAGAATCGAAATTCTGGGAGAGCATATTACCATAGATATCAACATAGTTGACAACAAGAATGGGAAAGCAAGTGGACCAGAGGGAGTAACTACGGAATTAATAAAGAATGGCTCAGAGAAATTATACAGAATGATCACGTTGATATTTAACGAATATAATTAATGGACATCCAACACCAGATGAATGGAAAACAACATATATGACCCCAATATATAAAAAAGGTGACAGGAGAACTTGTAAAAACTATAGAGGGATATCGGTCACAAGTTCAATGAGTCGACTATACGGTCGAATACTACGGGATCTGATAGAGGAAGATTATAAATCGTCTGAAGACGAAGAACAAGGAGGATTTAGAGCAGGTCGTTCATGTACAGATAACATCTTCTGTCTTAAACAAATTATAGAAAAGAAAATTGTGACAAATAGAGAGTTACATATGACTTTTGTAGATCTGTAGATCTTGAGAAGGCATATGACACAGTCCAGCTAAATAAACTATGGGAAGTCCTGGGCACATCAAACATACATCAAACATTGGTTAGTGCTCTCAAAGAACTATATTATGGTTCAAACTCCCAAATGAAATTCGGAAACCTCTTAGCTGAAAAATTTGCAATTACTAAGGGTCTCAGACAAGGATGTTGTATCTCTCCGACTCTATTTAAGATTTATATTTTTGCAGCTCTGAAACAATGGAAAAGGAAAGTCAAAGGAATGGGTATACAATTGAACGATCAGGATTACATATATACTTTACAGTTTGCAGATGATCAGGTGGTGATCTCAAATGACAAAGACGACATGGAATACATGCTTAGAAAACTAATTGAAGAATACCAGAAATGGGGATTAAATATCAATTTAGAAAAGACAAAATACCTCTCAATTGGAGCTGAAGCAGAACAACTCGATATCGATGACCATCAAAAAATAAATCCATGTGACGAATATAAATACCTGGGCGTCATCTTCGACCGTAGTGGAAAAGACGAACGAGAAATAGAACATCGAATTGTACAAGCACGAAGAGCTATAGCATGTTTGAAGCGAGTTCTGTGGAGTAAAGAAATATCAAAGAAAAGAAATGGAACATCTATGAGACAATGGTTAAAACTAGCCTACTTTATGGAGCTGAGACATGGAGAATAACCGAGAAATATAAGAAAAAGGTCGAAGCCACGGAAATGGATGCCATCAGAAGATCGATGAGAATATCAAGAGCCGACAGAATACGGAATGAAGTAATAAAACAACAAATGGGTATAGAGGGCACTATAGTTGAGGATATTGAGAGAAAACAGCTCATATGGTATGGGCATGTGAGCCGAATGGGGGACGAAAGATTGCCTAAAAAACACGATGATGTGGCAACCCCCAGAGAAGAGGAAATGAGGAAGACCACCACAGAGCTGGAACCTGGGAGTTAGGAAAGCGATTAGTGCTCGAAATCTGGACGAAGACCTAACTCAAGACAGAATACAGTGGCGTTTGGGAGTCGGACAACGTCATAAGACGTTATAAAACCGAATATATTTATATTCGGTTTTATAACGTCTTATGAATACGTCTTATAAATACAACTTTTGTATTTTTATAATAACATCCACATATTTAAGTGATCTTTATGGAAGTTTCTAACACAGAAATGATGAAATTATTATAGAGTAATTGCCAAATATGTTTTTATTATACTCTTTTTAAGTTATTGTACAAAAAATTACAAAAAATTCAAAACACTAGTAAATGAACAGCAGAATTTAATGAATAAACAACACATATCCAGTAAATGAACACAACTTGTAGACACATATTGGGGGTATTATAATTATGTATTAATTACAAATGTAGAAATATGTATTTCATTTGTATTTTACATCGGTATTAATTTTTTTCCCTTACATTTCCCTAGCATCCACTTTTTTAGGTTCTGCAATTTTGAACAAAATGTTTTCTGAGGAATACTATTTTCTTTTTTTAATTTTTCAGTGGAAGTTTGGACCATTGTTGTTAATTCATAGTGACTACTATCTTTATTGGTAATTTTTCCTGGAAAATGTTGACCATCATATTTTACCATAACAAAATCACCTAGGTATTTCAAACATCACTTGTTTTTGTTCTGAAGCTATTTTCTTGTGGCATTGTAAATTAATTACTATTTAACTGGGAAAAAGCCACAATTAAAGATAAAAATACGTTTATTGACGTTTCAATTTCCACTTCGGAAATCGTTCTCAAATACAAACAGTAAATTAAACAAATTTTGTTTTTTTTTTAAACAAAACAAAACAAAAAACAAAATTTGTTTAATTTACTGTTTGTATTTTGAGAACGATTTCCGAAGTGGAAATTGAAAACGTCAATAAACGTATTTTTATCTTTAATTGTGGCTTTTTCCCAGTTAAATAGTAATCACTTTGTTTGTTATCAGGCACATTATGGTTCTCTACATCAGGCAGAATTATTTCTTCTTCACTTACTAATTCCGTATGGATATTTGTGTTTGTTTTGTCCCTCTCATTGTCATTATAATAGTTTTCCTTTCCTTAGATATCAGTGCGAAAGGCATTGCTGCTTTTGATATTTCTCTTGAAGTTTCTCAGAAATATTAAACAACACAGGGAAGAAAATCGGCCCATAATTTAATGGTTGAAACTTATATTTATTCCTCTCATACCCATGACAGATACTGAGGAGACAATAAGTTTATTTTAAAGTTTCGAGTTCCAGTTTGGAAATCGTTAACTCAAAATACGAAAAAACAAATGTTGATTTTGTTACTTGATAAAAAAATTCTTCTAATAATTTTATTGTATCTGACTTATTCATATTGACAACTCAGTCACTATTTGAGATATATTTCTACAAAATATATCTCAAATATATATATATTTCTACAAAATCTCCTTACAAAAATAAAATATTTTACAACACAAACAATTACCACCTCTCAAATCAGCCTGGTATTTTTCAACTATTCGTGAGGTTTCTTCTTCTTGTAGTGCCTATCCGTTTTGGATGATGGCGACCATCATGGCGATCTGTATTTTACAAACTGTAGCTCTGAAAAGATTTGTGATTGTTGGATGGCTGGATGGATGCATGTAGATGTTGTGGATTTGTTTCAGCCAGGAAATTCTTCGCCTTCTTGGTCTTCGTATTCCTTCAACTTTTCCTTTTAGCATTAATTGCAGTAACCCATATCTTTCGCTGTTTCTCATGATGTGACCGAGGTATTCGATTTTGACTGTTTTTATTGTAGTTACAACTCTTTTCCTTTTTTGCATTCTTAATTTAATGTCCTGGTTAGGAACGTGGTCGGTATAGGATACCTTCAGGATTCAATGATATAACCACATTTCGAAAGCCTCAATTTTATTGCAGGTAGCATCTGTGAGAGCCCACTACTCAACTCCGTTAAACAGTATAGGAAAGATATAACATCCTAGTAACCTAATTTTTATGGGTGCTGATAAATCATGACATTTTAAAAGCTTAGCCACTTTTTGAAATGCAGATCTTACTTTCCCTATCCTACATTTTGTTTCTAGGGAATGGTACGAATTTTCATTGATGTTCGTACCAAGGTAGATTGTATGTTTGTACTCCTTCTACTGGTTAGCACGTCACACTGATTCTTTTGCTTTTCCTTTTTAGAGGTCATTATACATATTCTTCTTCTCCTGGTAGCACTACAACCCGGGGTGGGTTTTGGCTGACTGCACAACCTGCTTCCATCTCGAACGGTCGTCCATGATGTTTAAGTCAGCGGGTAGCCCCATTGTTCTCAAATCTGACCATATATTATCTCTCCATCGCATTCGTGGACGTTCTAAGGGCCTTCTCCCTGTCGGGACTTCTTCCCAGATTAACTTGGTAAGGCGGTTTATTAGGGAGCCTATGAACATGGCCAGCCCATCTTAGACGTTGGGATTTAATCTCTTGGACTACGTCGCTAGCACTATATATTTGTTTGACCTCGGCATTTGTTCTCATTCGGTATTGGTTAGTATTCGGATCGTGATAGGGACCGAAGATCTTTCTGAGGATTTTTCTCTCAAAGCATCTGAGTTTACTTTCCATTGCTTTTGTCAGCGTCCACGTCTCACACCCATACATGAGCACCGGTCTAATTACTGTTTTATATATCCTGATTCCTGAATGCTGTAGTGCCATTATGGTATCGTGGCCACCTTCTTTATATAGTTCAGATGTAAGATTATCTCTCCGGGTGATTTGTTTCTGGCTAGCTTTTAACTGCATCTTTAACTTCAAGAATTCTTGGTGGTTCTTCTTTCTTCTCGTCTGTTCCGCTTATCTCATCACTTTCGTCCTTCAGGTTTTCTTTTTCTTCCTCTATATTAAGTGACTGGTTTATTCTACCTATCAATTTAATACATCTTTCTTTGTTGTTAATAGCTCACCAGTCTGACTTCTGCGTTGACTTGTGGTTGCCTTGAATTATTTTCTGTCGATGTTAACTTTTTTATAGAATGTTTTGAATTATTTCTCTCTGTTTAAATTTTCTATATATTTTCTTAAGTAACTTATTTAAGTGTTACGTTTTTTTCTTTCGTATATCCTCTTTCCTTCTTTTCTCTTTGTCCTTGTTCTTGTGTTGCATTTATCGTCAAACCAATGGTTTTTATAGGAAGAATTTTCTGTTCTGTTCTGTTTTGATTAAAAACTTTCAATCTGAGTTTTATTGATTTAGTGATACAGCACTATTTGGTTGATAAACAGCAACCAAATATTTTTTTTTACTCGAAGTTACAATATTAACTATGAGCACGTCTGCAATGAATAGGGTACCAATATAATTTATGAATTTTAACATTTAATATTAATTAAATAAATAATATTTAAAATATAAATGTAAAATAAATGTTCAATAATATTTTTTCTTTTAGATATATCGGCCGCTTCAAAAATAACTCCAAAACACCTACACAAAATTCTGGACTCTTCCTGTAAAGACATCTCGCCTCCCCATATCAAAAATGCAGAGCTCGTGAAATTAAAGACTGAAAAACTTCACGACGGGCGGCATAAACAAACTGAATATTTGGTAGCTGAGTATAGATGTACAGATGGATACGGATTCAAAGTTGGTGTTGCTAACCATTTGTTTTGTAGCAAGAAGCGATGGATTGGGAAGACAAATTTATGTAAGAAGAAAAATAAAGGTAAGTAAATATTTAAATTTTGCAATTTAGTCCTGTCGGGATAGAATTTGACCTTGTACGGCGAGTTGCCCCAAATTTTATTATTCTAACATTTAGGGGGGGGGGTCAAAAGTAGTGTAATTATTAGTAGAATAGGAGGCGATTTGGCCACCCCCCTCCACTTCCACTCTGACGTCAACACGCAGCCCACTGTGACGTCACGCGTCTTAAGATAGAAAACAAACAATAAGACCTGTTCAAACCTGTTCAAACCTGTTCAGACCTGTTCAGAACCTGATCAGAACCTGATCAAGACCTAATCAAAACCTGATCAAAACCTGATCAATACCTGATCAAAACCTGATCAAAAGATGGATCGCATACCTACATTTTACGATGAATAAATCTTCTTGAATTATGTGTTCTTGTTTGAGTTGTCTCAATTTACTTTGTTTCTCCGTTTTGTTATAAGTTGTCTTTTCAAATCTTTATTTATCGTAAAATGTAGGTATGCGATCAATCTTTTTGATCAGCTTTTGATCAGGTTTTGATCAGGTTTTGATCAGGCTTTGATCAGGTTTTGATCAGGTTTTGATCAGGTTTGATCAGGTTTGATCAGGAAATGTTTAAACCTCTATTAACTCGCGGAGCTTAATTCGACGATCTGCCATAATCATGTCATGGACTTTGTTGATCATTTCCGGCGTGGTGACTTCATTTGGCCTCCCGGGACGCTCATCATTAAAAAACACTCGTACGACCACGAGTAAATTCAGCTTTCCAAAATTTTACTATTGCTAACCAAGGTGCAACCCCATCATAAACTTCGTCCATGCCGGCTTTATTTGCACATTCGTTTTACCCTTTTTGTGGAGGAACTTAATCACCGAACTATACTCGACTTTTTTCATTTCTCCGAAAACACAAAATTTGCTTACTTTTGACGGCTGTAGAAACCAAACTAATTGTTTTTAAAACTTAAAATTTTGACAGACGTCATGTCATGAATGGCAAATGTCAAGACCGAAACCAATTAGGTATCAAGTAGCGCTATCTAACAAAGGCTACTTTAATATTAATCTATTCTCGTAGATATAAAAAATTTATTCAAAAGATGTCCAGTTAACCTCACTTTAACCTAATTTTATTGAGATGCCACAAGAGCTTCACGATAGCTTCAGAATAATATTTGGAGAATTTGCTATTAACTTTCTCAGTAGAGCGGACCGTTTATGTCAAAGCTTTCATCCATAATAAAAAAAACTGCAAATTCGTGAAATGTAGATACTTTATTACATATATTTGGAATTGCAAATGTGAGCATAAAACTAAAATGTGCAAAGACCGTGCTGACTGCTGACGAACTATACCGATAATAATTACATAAAAGTATCAATTAAATGATAAAGACAACCAAACAATATAGCAATATTTAAAAACAGTTGAAACACAATATTTTTCTATATTTAATAGTTAACTAAAACACATTTCCTGCAAATAAGTAGGAATCACTTATAGGCACTTTGAATAAAAAACTAAACTAGCGATATTAGTAATATCCGATTAAAGAAAATTATTAATAGTACCTAATATCTATTTTAGAGATTATTAGTAAGCACAAATATAAAAAGAAGGTGTGGTTAGTGGAACGGAAAAAACAGTAATTGACATGCAATCTGCTATTTCCTCATAGTGATCTATTCACAGCTTTTAAGACAGGCCACACGTGGTGGATACATTTCCTTAATTTATCAAAAACAAAATAAGTTGTGATTAATTGGTTATTAAAAATAGTATAAAATGCTTTCTTTTTTATTACATTAAAAAGAGGTTAAAAACTTATTTTACAAAAGTATTTAAAAGAAGTGTCTCAGTCTTCCTCTTCTTTATTGGTTAGAATTTGTTTTAAACTTATTATTCTAAATTATTATACGGTTATACGATACCTTGTACCGAATGTTTTAAGCCATTTTCAAATATCCCGCTCAGGATATGTACGCCCAAGAAAAATGAATGTTTGACGGTTTCAAAATTTCACATTTGGTATCGTCCATCGTCAACAGATTATTGGTAAATCGATTCTTCTGCGTTTTTACCCACCTTTTAAGGGGGAAGACTGGGGGTAAATGCATCTTTTTCGGGTCCCAAAATTAATATTCTCGGCAAAATTCAGCTTGTTTGTATAATTTTTAGATGTTCAGTGGCATTTTCGTCTCTGACGACTAAAGTATAGGTCTTGTATAAATAAATGATGATAAATAATGATATAACTATAGCTGAAGGGATTAGAAGAAACCATGAAAGAGAAATTTGACAATTAATTTATTAGATTGGATTAAAAGCACATAAATTAAGACTAATTTACAACCAAAAAAATTTTTTTCTAATTTTCAAGTTAAACAGTTCAATTTTTAATAAAAAAACATATTGTAAATATAAATTAAATTTTAGGGTGAACATTTTTGCTATTAGAGTTATTAGAAGCTATTAGAGGCACACCAAATCACAGCTCTTACGAAGCTATTCAACAACATCTACGAGACTGGTTACTTACCAAAAGACTGGCTACTATCAATATTTATCCCACTTCCTATAAAAGCCAACACTAGCAAATGTGAAGAACATAGAATAATTAATTTGAGGAGCTATGTACTTAAAGTACTTCTTACTATCATTCACCCGCGCATATACACCAAATTAAAAGAACACCTGAGTGAAGTTCAATTTGGATTCAGAGCAGGACTCAGAAAGGGGGAAGCACTTTTTTTATTATCCCGGTTTTTTATAGGGTTCTCCGCCTTCAGGTTCCCAGTTTCCAGCTACATCAGTCATTCCTTTCGCCAGGTTGAAAGTTTCTTTCCGACATTGCCTTCTGAATGCCGCCCAGCCAGGATTGTTTTGGCCTTCCTTTCTTCCTTCTTTCCCTTACCGTCCATTTTAGAATTTGGTTTGGCAGCCTGTCGTCGTCCATTCTTTTCACATGACCATACCAGATCAGTTGTCTCCTTTGAATTTCGTCAATGATGGTTGACTTGACTCCCATTATATTTCTGATATGGTCATTTTGTATTCTATCAAGCCTTGATTTTCTAGCTGATCTTCTCCAGAAGTCCATTTTCAATGCAAGTAGGCGTCGCTCAAGGGATTTAGTAAGTTGCCATGTTTCGCATCCATAGAGCACTATACTTTTAAAGATGGAGTTAAAGAGGAGATGCTTTCTTTGATTTGATAGTTCTTTTGACCATAGCATCGGGTTTAGGCATCCTATCACCCTTTTTCCTTTCACGATTCTTTGCTTTATCTCTTTTTCGGTGCGCCCACTCTTGTTGATTGTTGTTCCCAAATATATATATTCCTCACAGTTCTTGATTGTTTCATGTTCATTGACCATTAGATCTTCTACTTCATTCCCGATGCATAAGTATCGCGTTTTGTTTCTATTTACAGAGAGGCCCCATTCTTCATATGTTTTTAACAACCGTCTCGTCATGAATTCTAAATCTTCCTTGTCTGCTGCCACTACTACTTGGTCGTCCGCAAAATGTAGAGTGTATAATGTTGTATCGTCTTCAAGTTGGATCCCCATTCCTGAACAGGATCTTCTCCAGTGTTTTAGTGCTTCATTTAAATAGATCTTAAATAGTATTGGAGAGAGGCAGCATCCTTGTCGTAAGCCTTTTGTTACTAAAAATTCTTCTGATAAGGTGTTGTTTAATTTGATTTTTGATGATGCTTTATTGTATAATTGTTTGACTGTGGCGATGATCGTGCTATTTAATGAAGATCGTTCAAGAGACTGCCACAGCTTTCTCACAGGAATCGTGTCATATGCTTTTGTGAGATCCACAAATAAAAGATGTATTTCCTGGTTTCTTGCAACTTTATTTTCATTCAGTTGTGTTAGGGTAAATATGTGGTCTACGCAAGATCTTCCATCTCTAAATCCTACTTGCTGTTCAATTTCATGAGGTTCGTATTCTTTCTCAATCATGTTTTTTAGTTTGCAAATTCTAATACAGAAAGCAAGCGATGTCAACTGCGATGTATATTCAGACAAAAATAATCATTAGTAAGAACACCGGCATAAACACCCAAATTACAATTAACGATACACCGTTAGAAAGAGTGGGAAAATATGCTATTTGGGCTGCAATATTAAGGATACTTAGGATCACAGCTACGAAATAAAAACTCGTATTGAAAAAGCCAGAAGCTCTATCAAACAGCCTTAAGGCATTGACAAATTGACAATTATTAGTAATTAGTTTTTTAATTATATTTTTGTGAATATCTCTCAGTGGGAACAGATGAAATATGAGACCTAGTCTTGGAAGACGACAAAATCAAAGGCGTGCAATCCTGCAAATATTTGGAGGTCATTTTTAACAAGAAGGGAAATAGCGCAGATGAAATCAGGGATAGAATAAACAAGGGCAGAGCAGCGACCGGTGCCTTAAAATCTCTTCTCTGGCAAAAAATAATTCGACGAGAAACCAAAAAACACATGTACGGTAGTATAGTTCAAAGTATTACACTTTACGGTTCGGAAGTATGGGACGTCACCAAAGCTAATAAAAACAAACTTATGACGACAGAAATGGATTATCTGAGACGAAGCTGCTCTAGATCGAAACTTGAGAGAGTTAGAAACGAACAAATTAGAAACGAAATGAAAATGGAGCAAAAATATCATTGATGACATAGAAAGAAAACAATTAATCTGGTTCGGATATGTTAGAAGAATGCCAGAGTACAGATGGTCTAGAAGAGTACTGGAATGGATCCCTCCTGAAAGAAGAAATAGAGGACGACCACGGATAAGTTGGTGCAACGATATTGATGAAGCAATGGCGTCAAGAGACTTAGAAGAGGTTGGGGACAGAGAAGCGGCGACAGCCGTAATCAATCCGTTATTATTATTATATTATAATTATACTTTTTCAGTTTATGTACAAAATAAAGTAGTATTAAAAACTACACTCACTATTTTTGCTATTATTAGCAAAATTAAATAGGCAATAAGTGGAATATGATTTCGTTGAACAGTTATCGTTAAGGGCTTCGTTACGTGCGATGTTTGCCAAGTAATCACCTTTAATTAAAAAATTGTTTAATATACCAGGTGTTTCGTTATATTAAAAAAATATTTATACTACTGTCATAATGGGATTTTTATATTCTTTCTTCTTTCTCTTGCTTAATTCTCAGCCCTTTATTTTTTAATTGGTATATCATTAATTATATCTTTTATATAATATAAAAGCAATAAAATAATTCTAAATTTTATTTACTTTTTTTAGAAAACATGAAACGAGCAGTGGTTGGCAATATTGATCCTGGTTTTCCAATATATTTTGGTGAGTGTTCCATAGAAGACAAAAAAAAATGTTCACAACTTTGTTATTTGTTAAACGGAGAAGCTACATGTGGTTGTCCTCAAGGATTTAGAAAAAAAGGAAATATTTGTGAAGGTAAATATTTATAGTTATAATAAGTGTTTATACACATACAGATTGAACGAAATAAATTCGGAACATAGGAAACATCATGTATTTCGGCTCATTTCTGCTGTAGGAGGTTGGCCAACAAAAGGTTGTCAAATAATTATATTATAAAAACCCAATACTTCTGCGGGCTGCTGGATTCTGAATTCATAAAAATTGAAAGCTACACATAAATCTACGATTTTATTATGCTGTCAAACCACTTATAGTCGAGGAAATGAAGCATTTCACCTCGCAATTTTTTTCGTCCTGCGTGGATTGACTTGAAATTTTAACAGAAGGTAGGTAATAGGATCAATAGTAGGATCAATATCTATATCGAACCAAAGTGCGCCAAAGCCTTAGGGGTGGTTGCTACCCCATCTCGGGAGTGAAAATTTTTTTTACGTTTTAACTACAGGTTTCGATTAAAAAGTGATTATAAACAAAAAATATATAAGATATTTTTCAAGTTATTCGCGATTGAAAGTAACAACTTTTAGACGAAAAAATCGACGTTTTTAATCGATTTTTCGCGAATAACTCGAAAATGGTGCATTTTATCAAAAAATTGTAGAAAAGAAATTTATAGCTTTTAAAAAGACAAATACAATTCATTTTTTAAAATGTTTTTGCGATATAATAGGAACCGAAATACGGCCTATCAATGTTCAGCGGTTTTCTTCAAATGCCAAATTTGAAAGATTCAAAGTCAAATATCGGGAAAATGATGCATTTTTGGAAGAAAACTCACGCAACCTTTTTTAAAGAGCATAAATAGATCTATCATAAAAAAAGACTCTAGCTTAAAAATTGAGTGAGTTATGATGAAAATAAGGCCAATACCTCATTTTTTTACGAAAAAAATCAATGAAAACAAACCCCTAACCACTCCCATAATTAAAATCGATCTTCACCCTTCTGCAATTCTCTTTGTACATGTATTGTTAATACGTCCAAGAAGTTTGACCCATTTAAAATGCTTAGTTTTAGAAAAAGTACAGCTTAAAGTGAGAAACGATTTACAATTTCATATTTTTTACCGTTCTTTTTTTAAATATCCCCGAAAATACTGAATATATGAAAGAAACAAAAATATACTAAATTGTAGCTTTTTTAATGACTAAAATTTTCCTTTATTTAGATTTGTTGTACAATGAATATTTGGCGAGATATAGCCGTTTAAAGCATCGATTTACGATCAAGCACCATCTTTTTCGAGTCCTTTAAACTCACCCCATAAAAACCAAGGGTTCCAAAGAGATTTAATTCACAGATCCTTGTAGCTCTTAAAAACCTCTACAAAATCGTTTTTGAGGAAACACTATATCATTAAAAATGAAGGAAATACGTTTAAAAAACCAATTAATTTTTTTTTGAAAATTCCATTAGTATAGTACAGTACATTTTGGAGCATAATAATCTACAAAACCCGTATATTAGGTAGTGGGGCGTTATACATTCGAAATTTTAAGCGTTCTTATTTGAAATCCCATACAACAGAATAAAACATTTACTCATATGTTTATGGCTTGACAATGAAAATATCAGAGCAACAGACTGGGGATGGTACTCCAAAGATGGTTTGTTATTACCCGTACGCATGAACAAACAACCTGCACTCGATGAACTTTTGAAAATTATTTTTTGCCAATGCAAAAATGGATGCGGCGTTTCATGTGGGTGCAGAAAAGTTGATTTATACTGTTACTTAACTTGTTCTGGGTGCTCAGGTGAAGGGTGCAATAATAGTCTACCAATAATTGAAGAAGATGAGGATGACATAGATCACGATGAAGATGTAATTGATGACGAATAAAATTAATATTATAATTGTTTTACCTATAAATGTAAATATTTTCAACTATTTATGTAAATGTATAAGAATATATGGTGCCTTATTATGTTGATAAATTTTTTTGTATTTAATTCTACTTTTTTCAATTTATATCTATTAAATTAGTTTATAAAAACTACAATTTTATAAAGGGTGATATTCAAAAGTTGAAAAAGTTGCAAAATTTTGGCAAAAAATTGTTTTTACCTATAGCACTCATAACAATTGATTTTTAAGGGTTGAAAATGTATGAAATTGTATTTTAAAGTATAAAAAAATTACTATTTAACTAATCCAAACCAAATTTCACTCATCTTAAGATTTGTAATGTTATTTTACAATTTTTGAAAATTAGGGGTAATTTTCACCCCTAAGAACAATCAGGGTTCATCGGCATGACATAAACTATAAAGCAGAGGCCGAGTTAAGCTTAATTCCAGTTTTTTATGCAAATCGTTCCAAGGCGAAATCATTTTCTTCGCATTACTAATTTTTTTACATTAATCTCTAACAAGGGTCGCTTTTTAAGGGTTAAAATATGATGGAACTTTATTCAAAAGCACGAAACTATCATTATTTAATTAATTCAAACCAAATTTTACCCATATTTAGGTTTAATATGTTATTTTATAATTTTTGACAATTAGGGCTAGTTTTCACCCCTAAGAACAATCGGGGTTCGTCTACATGATATCAACTATAAAGCAGCGGGTGAATTGAGCTTAAATCCAAATTTTTATTCAAATCGATCCAAGGCGAAATCATTTTTTTAGAATTAGTAATTTTTTACATTAATCTCTAACAAGGGTTGCTTTTTAACGGTTGAAATATGATTGGAACTCTATTCAAAAGTACAAAATAATCATTATTTAACTAATTCAAACCAAATCTTACCCATATTCAGGTTTAATATGTTATTTTATAATTTTTGATAATTAGGGGTAGTTTTCACTCCTAAAACCATTCAGCGCACTTCGGTTCGATATAGATTTTAATCCTTGGGCTATCACCTACCTTCTGTTAAAATTTCAACTCAATTCATGCAGGACGAAAAATTGCGAGGTTTTAACATTTTTTTGAGCTTCATTTCCTGAAGTATTAAAAACTTCCTTAGACAAGCAACATTGTTACACAAACAACATTGTTTGCGAGACAGATAGTTGAACGATATTTTATACAATGTCTATACCCAGGTATGAATTTATTTTTGTCCAAGTTTTATATTGGTCCACTATTTCAAATGCAGTTCAAACAGACATGTATTAAATTGTATGTTCCGTTTTAAATTCGTTCTATCTGTATGTACATAAATTTTATGGACATCTTATTTTTACAACATATTATTCATCAAATTTCTTTATCAATAATAAATATAAACATTTTTTAGATATCAATGAATGTGACATTCAAAACGGAGGATGCCAACACTTCTGTGTGAACAACATAGGCTCTTTTTCCTGTGATTGTCCAAAGGGTTATCAAATATCCTACGACGGCACTTCTTGCGAAGACATAAATGAATGTCACGTTAGAAATGGCCACGGGCCATGCCAAGATACCTGTCACAATCTTCCGGGTTCGTACAGATGTTCTTGTTCGAACTTGACGGGAACTCGACTAGCTGACGATCTTCACACCTGCGCAGATATCAACCAGTGCACTGGGAATCTTTCGGGATGTTCACACGGATGTATTAATAGTCACGGGAGAGCTTATTGTACTTGTCCTCAGGGTATGGATCTAGGAGATGATTGGAAAACCTGCAAAGGTAACTAGTTAATAATTATTATAGTGGGATACGCTAATATCTATCTCGTAAGAGGAATACTGTCCTATATTTACTATGATATCTGCAACAGTAATTTTCATTTTATGTGGCTGAATGCTTAAAACGGTAAAGTCCTACCAGAGATCTAAGAGTCACTAAGACGTATTATCGATAAGTGGCTACCGCAAGGCAGCGGGGCATCGCCTCTGGACAGGATCGTACTTTTATTTTCGATTTGCATTACTTATTCGTTGCTAGGTGTGTTTAAAAACTGGTCTTTATCCTTGTCTACTAAAGCTTTAATAGTTGCAAACATTTTTACATACACTATCTATCTATCTATACAGCCCTAAACATCCATCCTTGGATATTGGCCTCCTCCTCCTCCTTCCATGCCTCTCTATCTTGGGCAATTTGCATCCATTTTGACCCGGCGTGTTTCTTCAGGTCATCTGACCATCGCATTTGTGACCTTCCCCTTTTTCGTTTGTGATTCCATGGTCTCCAATGTATAATTGTCGTAGTCCATCTTTCATCTTTCTGCCTTAGGGTGTGTCCGGCGAACTTCCATTTAAGCTTTGCTACTTTGGTTGAGACATCTGTCACTTTTGTTTTATTACGGATCCATTCATTTATTTTTCTGTCTAATAGCTCAACGTTCAGCATTTGTCTTTCCATAAACGATAAAGTTATAGAAAAAGTTGAAGAATATATATACTTGGGACAAAAAATAATCCTAAATAGGGAAATTCAGACTGAAGAAATAAAAAGAAGAAGAAAGTTAGCTTGGGCAGCATTCGGTAAACTGAACTATATACTCAGAAATCAACAAATTCAATTACATCTTAGATCTAAAGTTTTTGATGCATGCATTATTCCGATATTAACTTATGCGGCACAAACATGGACAATCACAAAAAAGAATATGAATATACTTAGAGTCACTCAACACGCGATGGAAAGAGCACTGCTAGGTATATCACTTAAGGACAAGAAAACAAACACATGGATAAGACAGAAAACCAAAGTCACCGATGTGGTGCAAAAAGCATTAAATCTGAAATGGGAATACGCTAGACATGTAGCTAGGAGCGATCTAAACAAATGGCACAGATCAATTTTAACCTGGAGACCATACCAACACAAAAGACCCAGAGGCAGACCTCCTATGAGTTGGACAGATGATCTGAAAAGGACTGCCGGGAAAAGTTGGCTACAAGTAGCGTACGATAAAAAACAATGGAAAGGAAGACTTGAAGAGGCTTATGTTCAGATGTGGACGTGAATGGCTAGACGAAGAAGAAGAAGAAGAAGATTTGTCTTTCCATGGATATTTCTGTCTTTGCTATTTTTCCATATTTTCCTTTGTAAACGTCCATGTCTGAGAGCCATATGTGAGGACAGGGAGTATACATTTATTGAAGACTCTCGTTTTTAGGTATTTTTCCGAATGATGCCCAGGCCAATCTTATTCTTCTCTTTATTTCTTCGGTCTGATTTTCTTTATTTAATTTAGCGATTTGGCCTAGATATATATACTCTTTTACTTGTTCTATTCTTGTTTGTGCCACTGTAATTATTAGTTCTTCTGGTTGATTAGTCATGGTTTTTGTTTACATATACTACATTTACATATTTACAAAACTTTATCATTTTTAAATAGAGTACAAAAAGAACAGAGCCAAAAATATTTTAGAAAAATATTTTCAAAATTGAGGTGTGTCTAAAAGCTGGTTTTATACCGTTATCAACTGAATTTAAACTACGTATACATAGAAAGTTTACCATTTATAAATACAATTCAAAAAGTACTTACATTTAAAAAAAAATTACATGGACTAGTAAAAAGTCAGTTTCACTATCACTGTCTTTATCTAGATCTATAATAATTGTTTCTTTGAGAAACCTATCTGCATTTTTCAGCTGTCTTTGGTTATTTTCTCTATTTTTAATTCAATTAGACGAACCACAGCGAACTGGATAGAGTCTCACGCACGAACTGGATATGGATTTTATTAGAAACAATAGTCAGATGATTCCAAACAATTAAGAGAGCAATTTTGAGAATTATGAACAACGGGAATCCATCGAGGGTCATTGAAAACAAATCAAAACGATTATAAGCAACTCAACTCCAAACTTAAAAGAGAACAGTAAAAAAAACAACAGTGGATGAAGGATGAGATTTTGAATTGATTTTGAAGTTCAGGTAAAATATCTCTCCTTCATTTGTTTAATAAACTTTATGAAACTGGCTATATACCAACGGATTGGCGGTTGTTGACTTTTGTGACGATACCTAAAAAAGCAAATGCAAAAGATGTACTGACTACCGAACCATCAGCTTGATGAGTCATGTTTTAAAGATATTTCTACGAATTTTGCATTCTAGGATGTACCAAAAAATAGAACAACTTGGTGACACACAGTTTGAATTCCGCAATAACCTTGAAACAAGAGAAGCGCTATTTAGTATTAAGGTTATGGTACAGAGATGCAGAGATATCGGACACCCAGTTTATGTGTTTTATTGACTTTGAGAAGGCCTTTGATCGAGTAAAACATACTGAAATGATAGCCATTCTTCAGCAGGTAGGTATTGATGATAAAGACCTACGCATTATTAAAAATCATTACTGGCATCAACGTGCAAACATCAGGATTGGCCGGGACACTTCTAAAGAGCTTCAAATACGAAGAGGAGTAAGGCAGGCTTGCATTTTGTCCCGGTACTATTTAACATCTATTCTAAGTTCGTTTTCAATAAAGCAGTGGATAATGTTCAATGTGATATAACAATGAATGGCGTCAATATTATTAATAATTTGAGATATGCGTATGACACAGTGTTAATTGCAAGCAATTACGAAGCACTTCAACATCTAATTAATAGGATTACCACAACGTGTGATGAATATGGCTATAAGTTAAACACCGCAAAGACAAAGGTGATAGTCGTCAGTAAAACACCAATACAACCGGAAGTGGTAACAGCTTATGGTGAACAACTGGAGAGAACTAACAGTATCACTTAGCTTGGTTGTAATCTAGAAGAGAGCTGGGACATGAGAAAATAAATTAGAATACAAATAGAGAAGGCCAGAGCTGCATTCTTTAAGATGAAGAAACTGTTATGTGGAAACAATATTACTTTAAGTCTGAGAATTGGATTAGTGGGATGTTATGTGTTCTTTACTCTTTTGCATGGTGTCGAAGGTTGGACTTTGACGGATACACTTTTCAAGAAATTAAAAGCCTTCGAAATCTGGGTGTATCGAAGAATCCTACGAATAGGTTGGGTGGATAGAGTTCGTAACGAAGTTGTTTTGCATCGGATGGGAAAAGTTACGGAAGTCATCAAAACAGTTAAAAATCGCACATGAAGAAGAAGTACTTTTTAAATTGTGTTTACAAATGGTAAACTTTCTATGTATACGTAATTTATGTAAATATTTTTAAAGTCAGCTGATAACGGTATAAAACCAGTTGTTAGACACACCTCAATTTTGAAAATAATTTTCTGCCTCTGTTCTTTCTGTACTCTATTTAGAAATAATATAGTTTTGTAAATATGTGAATGTAGTGTATGTAAATATTATTGCAACAATTATAACTTTAGTAGACAATGATAAAGACCTGCTTTTAAACACACCTAACAATCGAATAAGTAGCTGCCTTGCGGTAGGGTAGACACGTATCAATAATAAATATTAATGACTCTCTTAGATCTCTGGTAGGACTATAGTACAACAAGTTGACTAAGTGAATTTGCTCGGTATATGCGAAAAAAAAAACATAAAATCAGAAAGCTTGTTAGATTAAATAAACTTTCAAATAAACTATCAACAAGATTCGAACTGGTGCTTACAATGCAAAAAAAATTCGTTATTAATAAATATTATCGCTCATACAAATTAAAAAAAAAAAGTCAGTAGGCATAACGAAGTGGTGTCAAATGACTTATTTTGCATATTTCGTTCCTATTTAAAAAGAAAATGCTCCTGTTTTTATATTTACCATAAGCAACATGCTTGGAAATCCGAACTCTAACATAAAACAGGAACGAGAGGATACAATAACCAAAATTAAACAAAACAAAGAATGCTAATCAAAAATGAAGATGACGATCATGCCGATAAAGAAAAGAGCAGATACAAAAACTTTAACCGGGAAGCACTGATTTAAAGGCAAGTCAAAACCAAGAATATGGAGTATGCTATAGGAAAATATGAAGAAATGCATCACTTTTGTGCACAATTTTTTGTGTATTAGTTTAAAGATTTAGTATGAAATCTATTTAATATAATGATACTTTTAACGTCTTTCATTCTTATTTAATATTTTCTTATTTTTCCTCTCATTTTGGTAATTTTAGTACTACTAAATAGTACTTAAATATAACCTCATAAAAAAATCTTTGTAACTAACTACTAATTTATTAATTTGTAGATATCAATGAATGCGAAGCTCCATCAATAAAATCGACATGTCCTCACGGCTGTACGAATTTCATTGGTTCCTACTACTGCCCAAAACATGACGAGATACTTTTATCTGACGCACCCGTGTCAGACGACGATGAGTATGATAGTGAAGACTATGAAACCGATCAATATGATGACGACGAATACGATGAAGAAGAATACGACGATGATAACGATGAGCAAGAAAAAGAATCATCAACGAAAAGTATTAATAGCAAAGATAAAGTTCAAGAAAACAATAAGAAAATAGATAAAAAAATTGATAAAATATATGACGATGAGTATGATGAGGGCAACGATGATGATTATAAAGAAAACACAACAAATAATACCAAAAATATTAATGAAAGTGACAAAAATAAAATTGATATAGATAACGCAATAGATAAACAAGATATTTTTAATAAACGCAAAGAAACAGAAACTGTAAAAACCTCAACTGTGATTAAGGAAATGGAAAAACCAGTTATCACAAACAAAAATGATATCTACACGGATTATGAAGACGAATATGATGACGAGTACGATGATGACGAAGAAACCACCATAGCTACTGATATTAAAATGACTAATACCTCTAACAAAGACAAAACCAACGATTTTAAACCTTCTATTATAAGTAACGAAGTAAATAAAAACGAAAATACAAGTAATAATGTTGGAAAACCAACTACTGAAACGTATTCTACAACTACGAGCAAAATTGCTATTGAATATGAAGATGAATATGATGAAGATTACGATGATATAACAACCACTATACGAATTGGTAGTACTTCTAATATACCTGCCATTCACAGTATAAAGGAAAACGGTATCCAAAACCGTAATGATGTTGACATTAAAGAAAGTGAAAACCATAATCTATCCATTATTTCTACAAGTACTATTAAAGAAATAAATGAGGTAACAGATAAATCAGTTTCTTTTATAACAACTGAGAAGGAAATTGATGACGAATATGATGACGACTCTGACGATTACGATGAATATAGTGAAGAGACAACTGTATTACACATTGACAAAAAAGTAAAAACAAACGATAAAGAATATGATTCTAGTATCAGTAAACCATCTACTGATATGGATAGTGAATATACCACAACTCAAAAACAAGAAATAAGTACAGTCACAAATCGCAGTCCTAAAAGAATTGAACCTGATGATTCCGTAATTAGTACAACCCTAAAAATTATCACAGCTTCAAGCTCAAACGCATCAGTTTCTACTGAACATCCTTCGGTCAATATTATTAACAAAGACCACCAACTTCAACACGAGAATGACAATAAAATCAATTTAGATATATCAAACAATTTATCACCTTTGGGCACAAACATTGCAAATAAAAATACTATCCTTACAGGTGATAACTACGAAGATAGTTATGATGAGGAAGAGGAAGATTATCATGAGAATACAAGTACTGTTAACAATAGACCACATAGTAGTATAGAACCTCAGATCACTACAGTGAGAACCGAAAGTACAAATAAAAATATAAATAAAATAGTCAAATCAGAAGATACAACAAGAAATAATAAATTTAACGAAGTAACCGATTTAAGTAATGAAGATATTGACAGGAACGATAAAGGTGATGTAATTTTTATTACTACCACTAGAAAATTATCAGAACTTGACAAAATTGATATAACTACAACTGAAAGGATTTCTGATAAGACAAATATAGATCGCATAAATAATTCGAACAAAACAAAACACGATGACGAATACGATGATTATGATGAATTTGATTCTAAAAAAGAAGGTAGTACAATTGCCAATAGCATGGTAAACAAATGCGAGGAAGGTTATTCTATGAATGAACGACGAGAATGTACAGGTGAGGTTCTTATTATTTTTTTGTATCCTTTTTATTAAGGGAAGGTTGAGGAATTCTACGCACTTAAGCAAAATCATCTTTATTGTTGTTTATTAAGTAACTAAAACTGTTCAAATTAATATAGTTAACTCACGAAAGTTAATCCTAAACGTACATAATTTAATTTTTTGGTTGGTGCGCAAAATTACCCATCTATATGAGTAATTTTACTCAATATATCGGACAATTTTATGCAAATTATAAAAATTATACAGTTTGATTTTTTCATTATAAAACATTTTATGATTTAAATTGTAGTCACTTATGTAGTCCTTCGAACTGTCTCTCGCAGTGGAAGGGCATGGGCCCAACCCAAATACGATTCACATTGATATCACAATTCTCCGTCCTTTGCGAATTCTCCACAAATTAGGCAGATGTTCTCTGGGCTATCCACATCGTCTATAAGTTATAATTCGCTATCATCAGAGATGCCTTTCTTGTTATATTCAGATTCCTCTGTTTCATTTTTTTGAAATTTAATCTTCTTGTTATGGGCCTCTTTGCCAAAGATTGCTCTTTTTGTAGCAGCTACTCGCTTCTCGTTTATCTCTTTTTTATTTAAGTCAGCTTCTTCGAGAATATTCTTCATATGTGTGGATATCAGGATTTATTTTTGTACACGTCCTAGTTTTTTTGAGATTATGTGGACTTTTGGTAGTGATAATAAATCCGAAAAAGAAACATTGGTTTTTGATGCTCCAGGAATTGGATATATTTCAGAATTTACTTGTGCCCCTTGAGTAATGTTGCCGTTTTCATTAATAACCCTTTTCTTTTAAGACACATGGGCAGTTCTGATTTAAGAACATAGCTCAGTTCGCCGAATGCCACCCAAGTGAGTCCTATGCGGCGGCTTAGTTCGCACGTTTGATTATCTCTTCCTATGCGTATCTCATGTCATAAGTACTTAGAAGAGGTGGTTTCTTCAATATGCATGCCATTTACTGAAATCTTTTCGCTTAACATAAGATTTGTCATGATTTCTGTTTTTGTGTGGTTGATTTTTAATCCAACTTGTAGGGAGGCTAGGTATAGTTTCTCCAGTTGCGATACTGCATCATCGATTCTGTCAGCAAAAAGGACAATATCATCAGCAAACCTCAAATGACTAAGCATTTTTCCATTGACATTAATTCCTTTTTCACTCAGATTTGCGTTCTTAAACATATGCTCTAATAATGTTGTAAACAATTTTGGCGAAATTGTGTCTCCCTGTCGCATTCCCCGTTTTATTTTAAATACGTTGGACTTTTTATCTGCCAGTTTCACGCTTGCTGTCCCATTTTGATAGATGTATTTTATCATGTTTATATAGCGATGATCTATACGGAACTCTGTTAAGGCTTTTAACATCATTTGATGACTTATTGTGTCGAAAGCTTTTTCGTAGTCAACAAATATCATGACTAATGGCCTGTTATATTCAACACTCTTTTCTGTTAAGTTCTTAATTACTTGTAAATGATTATTAGTGCCATATCCTGCTCTAAAACCTGCTTGCTCTCTTGGCTGATAGAAATCCAACTTACTTTCTAGCCTGTTGGTAATAACTCTTGTAAATAGCTTATATACTTGTGACAACAAGCTAATGGGGCGGTAGTTTCTAAGGTCGCTGATATCTCCCTTCTTATGAAGTAAGATGATTTCCGCGTTGTTCCACTGCGTCGGTGTTATCGCTTCGCACAGACATTTATTGAACCGTTTAGCAAGTGTCAGTAAGAGCTTATTTCCTCCTAGTTTTAGGCTTTCGGTCATTACCTTGTCTCCACCTGGGGATTTATTGTTCTTCATCACCCGAAGCGCATTTTTAATTTCGTCAACAGTTATGTTTGGCATTAATTCTGAGTCTTGATTCTCTATCTTTGGTAAAGGGCGCCTTTCATCGGATTCACTTGTTTCATAGAGTTGTCTGTAGAAGTCTTCCACTGTTTTCACTATTTCTTCCTTATCAATCACAATGTCGTCTTGTTTATTTCTTAACTTATGTATGTTCTTTTTTCCTGTGGACATGTTGTGTCTTAGAACTTTCAGACTTCTATTTTTCTCTATCACCCTTGTCACCTCTCTCATGTTATGTTGCCGTATGTCTTTTCGGATTTCTTTGTTTATTGTTTTACTGAGTTGACTACATTCTGCGTATCTGTCCTTTAGCCTCCTTCTTTGTTCGATCAGATTTTTAGTGTTGAGACTTATTTTCTCATGTTTTTTCTTCATTTTAGGACACCACAACTTCTCCGCTTCTTTAAGGGCTTTTACGATACTTTCGTTTAAAATTTCGACCTGTGTTTCGTCGTTGATTTGTTTCTTTCTTTATTCTTTAACGTTTAACTCACTGCCCAACGGTACTTTGGATTCGATTTTACAAGAAAATTAATAAATGTCTAATATTCAGAAATAATAGCACTTCTTTATAAAATAATATTTATATTAATACATCTTTTAACAATAAAATTCACTATTACAAATCTCATTCTTAAAACAATGAATCAGCACTAACATACAAATGTCATTTGTCAAAGTATCTACATTGACAGTTTTACCAAAATAAAATATATAATTATTTGACAGTCTGAATGTTGCGCAAGAGTACCAACAAGGAATTATGTATTTTTAAATTTGAACAGATTTTATCAACACTTTTATAAAGTGGTACTTATACGTACCATTAGTCAACAAATGGTTATATATTATATTTGCTTTCAGATATTGATGAATGCAGCCCTTCTACCAATCCATGCTCTGACATATGTGAAAATACCGCCGGCAGTTATATTTGCAGTTGTCCTGTAGGTTTTAAGCTGAATTCTGCGGATCCTCACACTTGTCAAGATATAGACGAATGCCAGCAATCTCCTTGTTCGCATATTTGCAAAAATACTCCAGGATCTTATTCTTGCGAATGCCCCAAAACGCTAACTCTTCAAAACAATACATGTGTAAATTTGACATGTTCCCATGGAGAAACAAGGATCAATGGAAAAGTGCAATGTACTTGTCCATTAGGATTTGTTTTAGGTAAGAGAATAATATATTTTTATGAATGTTTTTGCCGGTATTTAATAACAATATTAATAATAAATGAAAAGTTTATTTGAAACTTTTAGTATAGGATGTCCAAGAAGGTTGTATTTCAATATATTGTCATCTCGGGGGAGTAAGACTTCTAACATAGTCTACTCGTCCCGTAAGCTCTAAGGGGCTTCACGTGTAGCTAGCGAAGTGACCCTTGCACTTATCCTTGTTCAGGTAGAATGTTGGTATGAATTCAAACAATTCATAGAAGAGATCATCGCCAAAGTGGCGACTAATGCTGCATTTTTCTATGTTTGAACGGACATATGTGGCTACTCCGTAAGCTCTATCGTAGGTAGCGCCCAAAAGATCATAGCCGGGGATTTTTCCTCTTGAGCTTAGTTAACCTTCGTTTTCTGTGTGCGTTTCCTGAAGTGCTACTAGGTCAACTTCGTTGTCTTTTAAAAGTCTGTGCAGGATTTGACATTTTGCCCTGCTTCTGCCTTCTATGTTAAATTGGTAAACTCGTATGCTTGGTCCGAGTTCTTTGGTCAAATGGTTCTGATAAGGTCCGTTTACAAGTGTCATTTCTAGAAAGATTTTCTGTGATATTTGAATTGCCAGGAGATTCAAGATTGTCTGGCGCCTTTTGTGCTAGTTCATTTAGCGTTACCCATGGTGCACGTGTAGTTTTCTACTACGGACGCGAACTAGCTTTACACCCCAAAGTCCAGAAGACTTCAATCGACAGGACACCTCAGAAGACATTCTGACGAACGAACAGTAAGACTGGTGTGGGAGGAAGTCCCAACTGGAAGGAGACCACGCGGATACCCTCGTCTCCGGTGGTGAGATAATATAGCAGGAGACCTAAGCACTATGGGCGTGGAGAATTGGATGGAGGTTGCTCAAGACAGAAAACAGTGGAGGCATGTTGTCGAATCGGCTAAAACCCACGAAGGGTTGTAACGCCACGGGGTAAGTAAGTAAATGTGGTCGACAACATCTCTAGAAGACAGCCTCTAGTTAAAGAGAAGGATACGTGTACGATACTCCAGGAGAGGCCTAGGATGACTGTCCCTTGAGATAAATAGATATAAGTAAAATAGGTAAATATAAATAAAAAAATAAAATAAAAATAAAAAGGTTTATTGTCTTAATATGTCAATATGTCTTAATATGTCAATAGCAACAAAATGCAAACTTTATAAAACAATAATACACCCAGTGCTCACATACGGATCGGAAACATGGGCAATGACGACCCGAGATGAAGAGTTACTACGAGTCTTTGAAAGAAAAGTATTGAGGACCATATATGACGGAGTAAACGAACAAGGTCTGTGGAGAAGGCAATATAACTTTGAACTCTATAGACTTTTTGGTGATGCAGATATTGTGAAGACCATCAAAATAAACCGCCTGAGGTGGGTGGGCCACGTTATGCGGATGGATGAGAGTGATCCCACTAAAATAACTATGCTAAACAGGCCGGTCGGAAGAAGAAGAAGGGGGCGACCTAAACTTAGATATCTGGACGATGTACAGGAAGATCTGAGGGAGATTGGAGTGAGGGGCTGGAGAAGGCAGACACTCGATAGGGATTGATAGAAGAATATTTTGAAGCAGGCCAAGACTCACGAAGGGCTGTAGCACCAACTGATGAATGAATTGTCTTAATGAAAATTACATTTCACACCTAAGCTATTTTAACTTATATCTACTACTAAGATATCGTAGCCTTCTTTCTTTACGTCCCGCTTTTGCACTGCCTACTGGTTAATCTGCGTCCTCTCGGATGGTCGATCAGTTTGTGAGTCGATCTAAACATCCTCTGGATCCTCTTCTTGTCGAGGATGTCACTGGTCTTCTGGAGTCTTCTTGTGAAAGAAGTATCTTGTCCATTTCTCTGTCACCTCCTCCAGTAGTGTATACTGGAGCCTTTCTTTGATCATTGCATTTGTTATTCGTTCTTTCCATGTTGATTCATCGATGATCCTGTAGCATGACGTCTCTGTAGCTTCAAGTTTCTTCTGGTTCAAGTCTTGACGAAGACTCGTAGAATTTCTTACATGAGTGAAATAAAAATACAAATTGCAGTAGAAACAAAATAACTATAGAGTCTCTATTTGAAGAGTCTTGGGTTTGAAGGCATGATTGTCCCTTGACTTAAAATCTGGATGGAGTTGAAAAGACAGACAGAAAAGGGTCTGTCTGTGAGTCTAATCTGCTCTCTTTTGGATGTTTTTTTTTTGAAGAATTCTCGAATTTTTTTTTAACCTTAAAAGGAAAATTTTGTATTTTCACCATTGGGATCCCTCTTTAGGGATTATAAATTTGAACATAGCTCTTAGGATGGCTTTATAAGCCGATATCGCTCAGTTAGGAATTAAATATTTTACACACTTCAAAAATACTTTTCTTTCCGTTCATTCATTTCACATAAGTGTGTACAAAAACATATAAGTATTTTTCAATTAATACATAAATGTATAAGTTATTATCAGTTATATCTGTTTAAGGTTCCGACAATCGAACCTGTGAAGACGTCGATGAATGCGTTCTTCTTCAAGATTGCTCTCAGATCTGCACCAATGTGATAGGTTCCTATGAATGCAGCTGTGAAAAGGGATATACGCTAGAGAGGGAAAAATATTGCATAGACATAGACGAATGCAAAGGAAATCACGGCTGTCATCAAATTTGTGAAAATATTCCTGGAAGTTTTAAGTGCAGTTGCGAAGACGGCTTTGAGTTTATGAATGGAACGCTGACCTGTGTAGATGTAGACGAATGTGCAGAAGGAAAAGATCTGGACGAATGTAGTCAGATATGTATTAATTATTTAGGTAATGTATCAGAAACTCTGAGTATTGTTTAATAATACTGCTAATTTTTTTTAATAATGTTGATGTTTACAAACTAATAAAAAACAAGACATACGCTCCCGAAGAAGTTTGAGTTGTTCTTGTTTAAAAATTTTATCACCAAGCTTTATTTGTTGAAAGATACCTATGTACTTGAAAAAAATATCGTATAGGTATAATATTTTGGGTGTTCATTATTTTTCTTTAAAAATTTTTGAGATTTTATTGCTAAAATTATCGCTGGAGAATTTAAAAAATTATTTAATTTGGAGGAGATAAAAGTATGTGTACACGGCAGTGTGTTTTCTATTTAGAAGAAACCTAGATAAAAGAAAATCATACTGTTTTTAAAAATATGATAAGTAACAATTTACAATTTATCGACAATCCTTTCCAGAATGATATTCAACTTGTTTCAATTCTCCCACAGGAAAAGGTTGAAGATTGAAAAAGTCTTATAAAGTAAAAAAAGAGGTTAATCTTTGTAATTTGGTATATTGAAAAACCCTTAAAAGGGCTACATAAAAAAACACGAACGTTTTCGGAATGACAATTCCGTCATCAGGTTTAAAAAAACACTAGGTTGACATGCCTGAGGCACCAAAATATTTAGGTAAAAACCCTTTAAAATAAATGTAGTTACAAAAAATTGTACATAATGTTGTTTTAAATATGTGATGTTTGATATTAAGTTAAAGTTGGCTTCAGGTAACATACACCCATGGTTTGAATGAGTTCCAGTGTCCGGAGAGTAAACCTCTTCAAACGGATTACAGCTGGTAACTCTGTTACCGTCTGTCATTGTCATCATGTTAACTCTGTAATTAAAGTATGACTCATGGGGCTCAGTGTATGATAGTTAGCACTCTTGTGCTGCTTGTTTTTTAGGGATATAAATGCTGAATTCAGTCACTCTTGTGGTATTATTCCCGTATCCTACACCGTGTTGAATAAATCTGCCAATACTTCCAAGTTATTCTCTTCCACTAGTTTTAACAGTTCTACTGGTATTTCATCTAATCCAGCTGCCTTATTTTCTTTAGAGTTTTTGATAGCGTATTTGACTTTATCTATGGTGATCTTCTGTCTCTCTAAAGGAATTAATTCATGTATTTTCTGGAGTATTTACTTATATCAATATAAATGTTAATGCACAATTAAAGATAGGAAATAAGTCAGAAAATACATAAGAAACAAATTAATTTGAATAAAATAAATTTAATAATTTTAGTGAATAATCAAATCATACTGTAATTGTATGAGGAATTAGTAATGTATAATATAATTTGCAGAAAAAATAACACAAGTCTAATTCTTTTCTCTTTATAGGTGGTTATGAATGTTCCTGTCACACAGGATACAAGTTGGCTTCAGATGATGCTAGCTGTCAAGATATAGACGAGTGCACCAACGATAACGGTAACTGTACACACATTTGCGAGAATATTGAAGGATCCTACTTTTGCAAATGTGAAGAAAACTATATGCTAGAAAGTGATAATCGCACTTGCAAAATTATAGATCCGTGCTTAGAGGATAATGGAGGATGTTCACATGAATGTGTTAACAAAAACGGCGTTGCTGTTTGCAAATGTCCTAAAGGGCATACGTTAGAGGACCGGGATTGTTATCTTTTGGATCCGTGCTTGACTAATAACGGAGGTTGCAGTCACATCTGCGTTAATGCTAATTCCGTCGTGAGATGTGAATGTCCCAAAGAATATGAACTGGTAAATAGTACAACATGTATGAAAATTAATCTTTGTTCCATAAATAACGGTAATTGTTCGCATTTTTGTGAATTCATCGACGACAAAGTTAACTGTATGTGTCCAGAATTGTATTCTCTGGAAAATGGAACTCAATGTATTGAAATTAATCCTTGTTTGGAAAATAATGGTGGTTGTTCTCATACTTGCATCTTTAAAAATCACAAACAATCATGTTCCTGTCCCCACACACACGAATTACATAATACAACACACTGTTTCGAGAAAAATCCTTGTTTAGAAGATAATGGAGGGTGTTCTGATACATGTATATTCGAAAACAGTGTATTGACATGCAGTTGTCCAAGAAATTACTATTTAGAAGGAAAAACCTGTTATCGAATTGACAGATGTCTTAAAGAAAATGGCGGATGTAGCCATATCTGCTTAACAGATGATGATGGCGATGTCAGTTGTATGTGTCCAGAAGGTTTTTTGCTGGGAGAAGATTTTAGTACTTGTATACCACAAGACCCTTGCTTGATAAACAATGGTAAGTAAAATATTCGTATTAGTTTATTTTCTAGTTAAAACATAATTTTATTTAAAAAAAATGCAAATGAAAAAAATATAGGAAAGTTGTAGCAATGTTGCTGTATAACAGTATAACATTGTTACAGTAGATATTCAAACCAAATCTGAATATCCTAATATCTACTTCTGAAGAAACTACATATAATTGAAGCGAAAGATCAAAATGTATCCATACATGGAGAATAGTCCAAACAATACACTAATAACATGGACGAGAATAATGGAAAAGTAATGTGAGAAAGTGATCATCATCATCATCATGGCTTATTCACTCCTGGCGGAGTGTTTGCCGCCCTTTTGGGCTCTCTGATTCATTTATTGCGGAGAATCAGTCCGCTGTTGTTTTTTTTTATTATTATAGCAGCGTGTGTGACTTGGCCCTGTCTACAATTTTCCTCCATTCTTTCCGATCCTTACAGCGCTCCTTCGAATTGTAGATTCTCAGCTTCTTTATGTCTCCTAAGACTTGATCTCTCCATCTTGTTTTGGGTCTCCCCTTTGGTCTCTTTGTTGTTGGTCTCCATCCAGTTATTCGCTTTAGCGTAGAGTCTGGGTTAGCTCTTTCTGTGTGCCCCAGCCACCTGAGCCTTTGCGTCTTAACGAACTTGATTATGTCTTCACCCTCGATGACTTCTTTAATTTCTTCATTGGTTAATCTTCTAAATTCGCCTACACTTATCCTCACCGGCCCCATTATTCGTCGAATTATCTTTCTCTCTAAGATTTTTAACCTCATTTCATCTTTTTGTGTTAGGCACATCGTCTCTGCACCATAGGTGATCACTGGCCTGATTGCAGTCTTGTAAATTTTTAATTTGGTTTTCTTACTAATGTGTTTTTCTTTCAAGAATTTTTGGTAGTTTCAGTAGGTTTTATTACCCAGTAGGATGCGTTTATTGATTTCATCTGTTCTATCATTTCTGTCATTTACCATCACTCCCAGGTATTTGAAACGGTGTACTCTTTCAAATGTATATGCACCAAGCTTAATTTCTTTCTCTATATTCGTATTCTCTCTTGAACACTTGAGGTATTTCGTTTTGCTTTGGTTTATTACTAGCCCTCTCTTCTTTGCTTCTTTATCTAGTATTAATATTATGTTCTGCATGGTTTTTAAATCTCTAGTAACCAGTGCAGTATCGTCTGCATACGCAATCAGTTGGGCTGAAGATTCGATAATCGTTCCCATAATTTTGGCTGCTCTTACTGCGCCCTCTATGGCAATGTTAAATAATGTTGTTGACAGGGAGTCTCCCTGTCTGACACCTACCTCCATTTGTACTTCATCTGACGGGCCTTCCTTTGTTAAGATTCGTGCCTTGGATTCCTTCATCGTCATTTTCGTGAGACTTATTAATTTTTCTTGGATGCCTAATTGATTCATATCCTTAATTAGCTCCTCCCTTATTACACTGTCAAAAGCTTGCTTGTAGTCAATAAACAGTATATGTAGATCTATTCCGTGCTCGTAACTTTTTTCGACTATTTGCGTTACAATGTGTATTGCATCTATTGTTGACTTACCTTCTCTAAATCCATGTTGGTATTCACCTATTTTTGTTCTAGTTTCTTTTTCTATTCTTTGTCTGATCAAATTAGTTAATATTTTGTACATTGTATTTAATAACGTGATTCCCCTGTAGTTAGTGCATTTCGTCTTGTCGCCTTTTTTAGGGATTGGTGTTATCAGACCACAATTCCAGTCGTTCGGGATGCTTTCTTCTTCCCATATTCGTTCTATTAGGTTGTGGATTCTGTGGGCTAGTTCCTCTTCTCCATTCTTAAAGAACTCATTTATAATATCGTCTGGTCCTGCTGCTTTCCTTGTCTTTAATCTGTTTATAGTCGCCAATATTTCGCTGTATGAGGGAGGCTCTGATTGTTCTCCATTCCTATTTTCTGTTTGTTCTTCATTTTCTGCGTTTTCAGCATCTTCTTTCTTTTTAAACAGTTCTCTATAGTGTGTTTCCCATTCTATTTTTCCAATGTTTGCTGGTATCTCTTTTTTTCTCTGTGATTTTATGTATTTGTATAGTCTTGCATTGTCATTACTATGGGCTTCGAGTTCCTGCAGTAATTTTTCGATCCATTTCTTCTTTTTTCTTTTGCAGCATTTGTCTGACTCTTTCTTCTTCTCTTTATAGTGTAGGAGATCTTCTTGTTTCCCTGTGGCCACCCACCTGTGTCTTGCTTTGTCCTTGTCTTTACTAGCTTGCTCGCATTCTTCATCGTACCAATCTTTTCTTTTATTGTTTTCCATTAGTCCTATCGTCTCCTCTGCTGTTGTTAAGATACTATCTTTTATGTCTTCCCATGTTTTATCTATGCTCGATGGTTTTAGGACTAGTAGTTTTTCTTAAAATTTAGTGCAGAATTTTGTGTTTCCATTATCTGTATTTAGTTTCGACCGATTCCACCTCTTTCTTTTCTTTCTGTCGTTTTTATCTTTAAGTATTTTCAATTTCATGTCGCCTATCACCAAAATGTGATCCGAATCAGCATTGGCTCCCCTGTAAGACCTTACATTCTGAAAAATTGTTCTCCATTTTTTTGAGATTAGGATGTGGTCTATTTGGTTTCCATCTGTTGTTCCAGGTATTAGCCACGTTACTTTGTGCTCTTTTTGTGCTTGAATTGAGTGCTAATAATAAAAGTATTGGTTGCTGCTGCTAGATTACATATTCTCCTGCCATTGTTATTCGTATTTTGATGGATTGTTTCTTTTCCTGCGATTTCTCTGTTCGTGTCTTCTTTCCCTATCTTTGCGTTGAAGTCTCCTAATAGGATTAGTATGTCGTTCTTTGGTATTTCTTCGCACAATTCTTCAAGTTTATCATAGAATTCATTCCTTTCTTCTTCAGGAGCATTCTCAGTAGGGGCATATATGTTAACAAATGTTAAATTTGCTTGTTTATTTTTCATTCTAATATATGATATTCTTCCATCAACCGCTTTAAAGTTAATAATCTTGTCTCTTACGCTGTTACTAACTAGAAAGGCAGTTCCATTGCGCCCGTGAGAAAGTGATAACGATTGTTAATGGATAGAACCGAATGGTAAAGACCTTGGAGACTCAAGACTTTACTTTATAGCTGTAACTCTAGAGATAATGACGAAGATCTTGTATAACTTATTTCCGCTGGCACGCTATATACATTATATGTACTATACGTCTCACGTCGTTTGATTTGATGTGTCATTTGCTAGTATTAGGCTAGTTGTTTATGTTGTACACAGTCAAAGGCCTTCTTCAGGTCAATAAAGCAAATTTACCTCATGTTTTATATATAAAGTCTAATATTATCCATAGTGTCATGTCATATATCGTATTTTGCTATGGTTCATTAATAACGAAGATGATATGTAGTGGCCTTTTGGTAGTCTCTTATATCGCATTTTAGAATTCGATCAGTTGTTTATTTTGTACTCAGTCTGAGACCTTCTTTAACTAAATAAATCAAAATTTGTCTTATAATTCTATATAAATCTACTTGTATTCAAGTGACCTATGAAATCTCATATGTCGCTGTACCTTCATTAATAATAAACATACCGTGTAGTGCTCTTTTGATAGTCGCCTTGTTTGTTTTTCTATCTTAACAGAGTCTTTATATCCTTTCCTTTCATTTGCTATGTCGCATGTTAGGATTCGTTTAGTTGTTTATTTTGTACTCAGTCAGAGGTCTTATTTAAGTCAATAAAGCAAAATTTGTCTTTAAGTTAAACTATTTTTATTCATAGTGCCCTATGACATCTGGTATGTAACTATACGTTTATTAATAATCAAGACATTATGTAATGCTCTTTTGGTAGTCGCCTTGTTTGTTTTTCTATCTGAATATATTCATTATATCCTTTCCTTTCATTTAACGTATCAAACGCACCAGTCGGACTAACAACAAAAAAGATATGATATAATGCCCTTTTATCAATACCACAATGTGTGTTTTTCTATCTCAACATATTCGCTATCCCCTCTCCTTTTCAGTGGTATATAATACGTCACGATCCGACGAACTATTCTACCCCCACACTTACCCCCACTTTGCGTTGTTTGCAAAACGCAAACAACGCAAATTTTTCCTGGCTAAGTACTTGTTTAATCGCCTTATGCTACTAAGCAATTTACATTATGCCTATTCTATATTTGTCTCTGTACTCTATTTGTTATTATGACCTTTTTTCAACTACCCTTTAATTTCATTTCTTATAAAATATGTCTTGAAGCTACAGAATAGTGTTGGGCTTTCCAAAAAATCCTCTACAGTCTTGCTTTGTATATGAGTCTTTTTAGATATAGTAATTGTATCTGTTTTAGGTAACTGCTCCCATATTTGCAACTCTACTCAAAAGGAAAACATCTGCTCATGTCCTGAAGGTTACCGATTAAAGAACGAAACCCACTGCGAGAAATATAATCCTTGTTTAGTAAATAATGGCGGCTGCTCTGATATTTGCGAAAATATTTTTGGTAAAGCTAGATGTTCGTGTCCTGATAACTATGTTCTCGAAGATGACTATACTTGCGTCATAATTGATCCTTGCTTCGAAGAAAATGGAGGCTGTTCTCATTACTGTAAAAATATTGACGGAAAGGTAAGTCTTTTTTAAAATGATTGTTTTGCAGCAATAGGTAAGGTTCCTTCTATAATGCAAGTCATCTATTCTAAACTAGTTGTATTGTAACCAATTGGCTTCAGTATTTATCTTCCATAACTATTTTACAAGTCCTCGAAATATCTTCAGCAGATCTGCTATATATGACAGTTCTCCACTAACACTTTAAACCCTTTATTTGGTCCTGGTATGCTCAGGGCTCTTCTATCAAGACTAAATCGAAACTCTTCATTAACAATTAACAGTAAGTTCTATCGAAGCTGCCTTACTGTAATACTGTAAAGGTTAGTCTGTAGGGCCTTGATTGAGGTCATGAAGACCTATTTGGGACAAAGATAAAGTCAGCGACAGGAGTCGCGTCGCTGTTAGTTCTTTGTCTCCATATCCATATCCACGCATACATGAAATGCCATGTGTAATAACAACACTACGGCTAATATCATAACTGCTGCTCCTATATTATATTCTATATGGATTCCCATATGCATTTGAATATATCTTATTGACGATTGTTCCATGTCCCAACCCTGTATTTAGAATGAGAACTTTCCTAGCTCATCTATCCTATGCGTTGTTAACTTGCGCAGTCAAACACTAACATGGATATAAATAGGGTCAAAAAAAGATAAAGAACATTACGATATACTCGTGTTGTTTATTAGTATGCGAGACGACGGTATTTATTACTCAAATCATTAACTCAGATCAAGTCAGTAAAATCCTGTAAATCAGATCTTAATGTTTGGATCTATAGGGAATAAAACAGAGGGTGTGCCAAAAGAAAAAGGAAGGCCGACTGTTTCGCAAAATTTACATAAAAAAATCTGAAAAACAAGTGTTTTTCAAAATCTATCGAATGGCACTTAACACTTAAATAGGAACCCTTATTTTTATGACAGATTTGGATTCAGGAGAAGTATCTTTTCTTCTTCTTCTTCTTCTTCTTTTTATGTAGACATGCCTCTGTCTGTTTTTCAATGTGCATCCAGTAAGTTATCGTTTTCGTGGTCTTCCCACTAATCGTTGTAACATCCTGTATATTTGTAATGGATGCTTATTTCTGCGAGCGGAGGTAAGGCTTACTGGTCCCACTAGTCCGAAGGTCGTGATTCCGCCCTCGCGACTTTACTACAGGGTAGAGAAAATTTGGATAAGGGGAAGAAGGACGTCCAGATGCAGGCCCTGTAAAGAGTTAGAGTTTATTGGCTTACTTTAGAAGCCGGAGAAATGGACCAAGCGAAAGGTGAGTTCTCTTCTAGTCTCTACCTGAAACGGGCCGGGAAAGAACAAAAAGCCTACTTTCAAACTTACAATATATTAATAAATCGCAAAACTACAACTAAGACAACAAGATATACGATATAGCTAATTATTGTTTTATCAAAGTTATGCGAAGAAAGACGAGAAGAGACTCTATTAAGGAGTATAAAAGGTGGGCAATCTACGATTTTTTTTATATTCCCCCATTGGTTAATATTTATGTTTAGTTACCTTAGCGTATTTAGGCCCTAGCTAAAGAATACGCCTTTGTAATCCAAACTGTAACTCAGGAACCGTCTGGATGAACGCTGGGAGTACTGTACGCTATCACGATTAATGTATCAAAACTTTTTTCCGTCACATTGCAGAAGGCAGTTACTTATTAAATTGCATTAGCCAAAATACATGAAAATTTTCATGTATTTTCAATGACTCATAATTTCATGATTCTGTAATTCTAGGAGCTTGTATTAATTCCTAGATTGGAAGTATGTTATGTATCTACTATCACAACATGTTGCATTCTATCTGTTTTCTTTTTTCCTTAACTAATTTTAATATTAAAATACGACGTCTTTATTTTAGCCAAAATGTTCCTGTCCTGACAGACACAACCTCGTAAACAAAACAACATGTGTCCAAGTGAATCCATGTTTTATTAATAATGGCGGCTGTTCCCACGAATGTGCCACTGATGAAAACAATAACGTGATATGTCTTTGCCCCCAAGGACAAGAGCTTGCTGGAAAAACCTGCATGCTCATTAATCCTTGCAATCACAAAAATGGTGGTTGCTCTCATATTTGCAGTAGTATTGAAGGGGCTGTTATTTGCAAATGTCCACCAGGTAAAGCAAATTATTTTTTATGAATGTTTTAGATCAATTTAAGGTAAAATGTCAGTTAGAAAAAATGATGAAAAACAGTGTGTTAAACAATTAATTATTATACTCTTTTTTATGGTGAAACACTAACGCAGTAAGGATATTAAATCTATCTTAAATCTACTATTCTTCAATATTCGTATTCTCTTTTAAACCATAACTTCTCGGCCACTTGTAAATCAACGATTCCAATAAACTAATCCCAATACAAGTAAATATGTTTGTGTTAGGTGTTAAGAGAATAACAAATCATAATTTAAGAATACAATTCAAGAAAATATATTTTGAATTTTAGTCTATGTAAAACTTATCTGCTATATAGAAATTGTCAATACGAATATTTGTCACAATGGTGTGAATATAAATATTTTATTTTTATTTTAAATAAATTTACATCTTACTGTAAGTATATTTATAGGCCATGAGCTGATAGACAAAACCTGTTTTAAAGTAAATCCATGTTCAATAAATAATGGAGGTTGTTCCCATGGGTGTAGTAGTTCCAGGGGTCAAGCAAAATGTACCTGTCCACCAGGATATAAACTGTTTGGTAAGTATTTTTACAATAATGTAACATTTTTTTATAATTAGAATATTAAATAATTTTTAATTCCTTTACCCCTGTTGCTGAGACGTCCATGGACGTATTCTCAAAAACTTTTGCGGGTGGTTTTGTTTACCATCGGCAAATTTCATTGGAACCTACCGAAATCTCAAGGAATTCTCAGAGTACGCGTTAGGTCCGACTTATTAAAGCCGGGTTTCACTGCAAGAATAACAATCGATATATTTTAAAGTGATTAAAGCCACAAAATTTAAATCATTGTAAAACTTTATCCTATTATATATATATATATATACAGTGTAGGAAAAAGTTTATGGTCGGTATGGACCTTACGTGAGATGGAGTGAGAAACAGCTGTTTAGAAAGAGAGAGGTATATTGGGTCCGCCCTTTATATCGCCAAACATGCATGTCTGGAAATAATAAAAGAGGGGAAGTTCAACGTTGCCAAACTTATTGGATTTATTTGACCTCTTGTTTTTTTTTTGCATTTGAACAATGTTCTAAGATAATCCAATTTGGGCGAAATTGATTTAAATGGCAGCTTACTGTTTTTTTATTGGGAATATGCCACAAGTTTACTTTACAATAAGTGTAATATACCATTTTGATTTCCACTTCGGAAATCGTTTTATATAAATAAAATTTATTAATGTTTCGTATTTTAAGTATGATTTCCGAATTAAAAATCTAAACATCAAAATAAGCTTATTTTAAAGTCACATTGTGCCTTATTCTCAATATGAAATAATAAACTGCATACAATAACGCCACATTAAAAAATATTCATACACAATAATTATTTGGCAACGTTGGTCTGGTCTGGTCTGGTTTGGCCGACCGAGTAACGAATAGTAGAGTTGGGTCGTGGTAGTTTTATCGTTAAGAGCGTAGGCACAAAATTTCGTTCCAATATTTTTTAAATGCATTAATTTTTTGCGAATCCTGAGAAAACTAATAAATATTTTTGAAAAATTTAAACGCAGAATGAAACAATACATTATTACCGAGGGCCGAAAGTCCCTGAAAACTTCTATAATATTTATTTTAATAAGTTATAGGGGTAAAAAAAATTAGTGTGATTTTTAATTTCAAATATCTCATTCAAAAACCTTTTTGTTTATTCTAAGGGACTTTCGGCCCTCGGTAATAATGTAATCTTTTATTCTGCATTTAAATTTTTTAAAAATATTTGTTAGTTTTCTCAGGATTCCAAAAAAAAATTAATGCATTTAAAAATTTTAATTTTTGTAAACAAGTAACTATGATTGTTTAAAAGTAGTTTTAAGTAAGAGAGTACCTACATAAACAAACATAATGGCTATTATCGTTTATGTGTATATTTATTGAAGTGAAAGAAACTAATGATTTATTTATTATAACTTGAAAAATAAACTAAACAATACAAATAGTAACTCGTACTTACATTTACATTACACGTTATTATTAAATCGCGAATAGTCTAAATTGACATTCAAAAACATAAGTTTTTCAACTTTACTTCTTATTAACCGTCTTCTTTTTTTTATTTCAAATTAAACCAGATTTTGAACATGTGTTCACATTTACAATACTAATAGTGGTTAAGTTTATAGGCTATACATGTATATACATGGCGATGGTTTTTCCACCGTTGTAATGGACTCTCGATTCAGGTGTATGTGTAGATGAGCCATCTCCAATTAATTGATCAAAAATACACCATGGATTTAAGTCAGCTTTATTGGTTTCTTTTTCTTGTACTGGTTGATTTTCAATAGTACAATCTTCTTGTTCGTTAATTATAGAAGTAACCAGCTTCTTAACTTTTTCTTTAATTTTTTTATCTTCATTTTTATCAGAAAAACCCTGCACTTTAAATGGTGAATCCATAAATGTACATAATAACAATGTGCCACTCTGTTATATCCCTTTAAATCTTTTTGCTAAACCCGATATTAGTAATTGTACTACGTCGGATACTATGGATGTAAGGTTTGCTAAACCTTATTGCTAAATTTACCGTTTGCTAAAATTTTATTGCAAGATTCTTACAGGCAGCGTACCATAACAATCACTCAACTACCCTTCAAGTATTTTTGGTCACTCATTGTACTTGGTATTTCTTTAAACGGCCGTAAAATTTGGGAAAGCTGAGAACAAATAATCTAGTGTTATTTATTTAGATTTGGTCTAAGTCTAAGTCTGTATTATTTAATACCGATGTGAAACGGATTGCCTTTTCTAACTCGGTCATTTTTTTTAACATGTAGTAGGTGAAGTTCTACCTAGTTTCCACGTCTTGGATTGGCCGTTTGGGAACTTTGTTATGTTGTAATTAATACTTTAAAAGCCTTTCTGAAGATAAGGTACTTTTTTTTAAATGTGCTTTTTACAGAATTGTCGAAACTAGGACTTTTTATTTTATCTATTATCAAATCAGTTTTGACATAACATTCCTGAAGTAATGAACCTGACAGTTTTTCTTGTTGGCAGTTTATATCCAGGAATCCACCCTGCAAACTTTTTAAAAGCTGGTTCTTCACCTATGGAAAACGGATGAAACGAGTCGTTGCATAAGTTTAGTAAATCTTGAAAATCAACCAGTACAAGAAAAAGAAACTGATAAATATGACTTAAGTCCATGGTGTATTTTTGATGAATTAATTGGACGTGACTCATCTAAACATACACCTGTATCGAAAGATATAAAAGAAGTCGACATGTATTTGTCTGATGATATATTACCCACAAAAAATTTCGAACGGAGATTGGAACTGTCCATTACCGTGGTGGAAAAACCATCGTCATGTATATCCTAGCTTAACCACTACATTCATAGAATATTGTAGTATTGTAACAAAATCTTTTCCTTGTGAACACATGTTTAAAATCTGGTTTAATTTTAAATAAAAGAAGAACACGGTTAACAAGAAAAGTGGAAAAACTTGTTTTTAAATGTCAATTTAGACGATTCGCGATTTAATAATGTGTAATGTAAATGTAAGTACTATTTGTATTGTTTAATTAATTTTTCAAGTTATAAGAAATATATCCTTCGTTAGGTTCTTTCACTTCAATACTTATACACATAAATGATAATAGCCAATATGTTTGTGTACTCGCTAATTTGAATACTGGTAAACAATCAACTAGTTACAGTTTACGAAAAACGGTTCCGATAAAAATTTAAAAAACGAGAGGATCCACCTCTAGTTTTTTAGGTATATTAGGATCGGAACCAGAGAATATGTAAAATATCTCTGATCGGAAATATTCGTCTCACGAATAAGCAATGAGTGTTAAAAATATTTATGGAGGGGAGACCAAGGGGAAATATGATTGTTATCTTTGTATATTCGCTGAAAATATAATTTTATATCTGCGTTAGATATCCTGTTAAATTTTACCATACCGACCATAAACTTTTACCTACACTGTATATATATATATATATATATATATATATATATATATATATATATATATATATATATATATATATAATTTAGAATAATATCAACATCCGATCATTGTAAAAAATCTCAAAACAGTAGAATATTTACAACCGATTGGAGGTAATTTTTTTTTAATATTACTCTTAATACAACACGTTGTTTTAGATTTTATGTAGGAGATTATTTATAGATATAGATATATTTATATAGATATTATATTATTATAGATATATTTATAGAGTTTATTTATAGTGTTAATTTTCAAAAAATATTGATTATTTTTTTAAGGTAAAACTTGCATGGATCAAAATCCCTGCACCAAAAACAACGGAGGTTGCTCTCACATCTGTCACAATAAGGAAGGAAAACGAGAATGTTCATGTCCACCAGGATATCTTTTAAGACCAAATAAAAGGGTGTGTAAAGAAATCAACGAATGTCGTGTCAATAGAGGAGGCTGCTCCCACGGTTGCAGAAACCTTCCGGGATCATTCCAATGTACGTGTCCTCATGGATTGCAACTGGAAGATGTTAAAAACAGAACTTGTATAGACGTAGATGAATGTTTGGTTAACAATGGAGATTGCGAAATGATCTGTAGGAACTTTAAAGGAGGATTTAAATGCGACTGTCCCGAGGGCTACTCTCTTCAAGTAAGTGTTGAATGTTTTTTCACTTTCTTCTTCTTCATGTACCATGTCCTTTCAAAACGTTGGTTACCATCATAACTATTTTAATTTTATTCACTGCCACCCTAAATAGCATGCTTGTATCTACACCATACCAATCTCGCAAGTTCTTCATCCATGAGGTTCTTCTTCGTCCTGGACTGCGTTTGCCTGCTATTTTTCCTTGCATGATATTTTGTAGTAATCTATATTTGGGACCTCTCATTACATGTCCGAAATATTCCAGCTTTCTCTGCTTGATGCTTTTTATGATCTCAGTAGTCTTGCTGAGACGTTTAAGTATTGTTGAGTTACGAATCTTCTCCACTCAGGAAACTTTTAAAATTCTTCTATAGCACCACATTTCGAAAGCCTCAAGGCGATTTAGATCAATTTTATTAACAGTCCAGGACTCGACAGCATAAAGTAAGACCGAGAACACGTAGCAGCGAAGTAGGCGGATCCTTAATGCCAATTTTAGGTCTCTGTTACATAACACCTTGGACATCTTTCTAAAAGCAGCTCTAGCCTGCTCTATTCTGGATCTAATTTCGCCGTGATTTTCTGCATTACAATTTAATTGCTGTCCAAGGTAGACGATTTTATCAACTTGCTCAAGTTTGGTATTATTTACATATATAGACGGTTTTATATTCTGTTGTTTACTTATTACAAGTATTTTGGTTTTCCTTATGTTAAGATCCAGACCTGCCTCCCTACAACTCTCAACGACACTATCAAGTAGTGTTTGCAGATCTTCTTGACTAGAAGCTAGGAGTACTGTATCGTCCGCATATCGCAAATTATTGATGACTTCGCCGTTCACAAGTATTCCTTCTTGTTTTTCTGAAAGTGTTTTTCTGAAAATTCTTTCGGAGTAAACGTTAAAAAGCAGGGGTGACAAGAGGCATCCCTGCCGTACTCCTCTTTTAATATTGAGAGCTTGTGATTCCACACCATCTACTAAAACTGATGTTGTTTGGTTCCAATATAAATTTGCAATTATTCGAACATCTCTGCCGTCCAAGCCAATGTCTTTACCACTTTGGTATTTTGAATTCTGTTTAAAATGCACGTTGAAATTTTTAAGATTATTTGGATTTATCGTTTTATTCAATCATACAACTAAATATTTTATACTTTACCTTTAATAAGCTGATTCTTTCAATAGAACCATCTTCCGGGGAATCTTCCAGGAAGGTACTTATTCTGGTACATTGTTTTTTTTGGCAATTTTATTTGTCAAAATTATAATTTGGTTAACCGACAACATATCTCTGGATTGGATTATAATATAGGGACAAGATAAACATTTTTATAAGAGAAGTGATCTCTAGAAAAACCGTCAACGCTAGATGGAGTAAATAAATGAGGAAAAATCAAAAAACAAAATCAATCTAGAGAGCACTGGAAATATAATAATTGTATTTATAGCAAAATTTTGCGTGTACTTGGATTCATAAGATTTTATCTTTTTATATGAGAGATAGGAAGAAAGGGAAGTTTGTTATAGAAAAATGACTGTAACTTCGGTTCTACTCGACCGATATTTACAAAGTTAATCTTGTTACAAAGAGCTCTTTTCCTGTAATAAAAAAATCGTATTTATTCTTCTCCAATTGGGAACAAATTTAGTTAGTAAAGTGCACACCAGGGGGCGCTTTCTTTTGCTTTTTGTAAATCTGTTTGTCTCTTAAAAATGTTAAAGCAAAGTATGCAACTTTACCTATGGATTATTAAAGAAAAACAAATTACCAACACCGAGATATTTTAATATCCAATTAAATCTTTTATTCCAACTCTAAGGCCTAAACAAAAATTAAGTAGTCTTCTTGGAAACCCTCAACATTGGCCTATATATAATGATCTAATCTTTCGTGTTAATAGTTACTGGCACCGTTAGATGGCATTGAATCATTTTTACAACATTTTACAAATATACATCAATTTGTTTTATTATTTTCAGATATTGTTTTTCATGTAAAAACAACCCAACGCCCTCTCAGGTGATGATAAAAATAATATGGAAATATGGAAATAGTTTGAATTACTAGAGATAGGTCTAAGCCACAGCTTACTAAATCTTCTATAGTACATTTAAATATACAATATTTGAAGCATCCTTTCAAATAATATTGTCCAGAGAAAACTAAATTTCCAAAGAACAAAAAATAGCGCTCTGTAGCACTTTATTTATTATATTTGTTTAATAATATATTGTTTACAAATTATTCATTATTGGGAAAGAGCTGTTTTAAAAAAGACCAAGTAGAATAGGAGTTAAAGGCCTTAACGTAAATGGTCTGGATGGGAAGTGAGGGATGAAAAGGGAAGAAGAAAATCAAGGTGCAAGTTAATTCACCTTACAAACAGGCGCTCAGGTGTTTTGAAGGACGGTGAGCTTTGGAAAGAGGTCAATGAGTTTGGGAATTTTTTTTATTTAGCGTATGGACCTTCACAGTACGACAAATATACAAATACAATAATATATACTTATATATTAAATATATTATTCAAACACTAAAGATAGAATTAATGACACTAAATATTAATGTCCAATTTACATAGTCATTCAATTGCTTCTGGGGAACATTCCGCAAAGTCCTGGAGGTTTCCACGGTAGGCACGATTCAAGCAGTCTGAAACACAATAGCTTATGGTCTGTCTAGATTGTCTTCAATCGCACTGTGGACTTTCTGCACGACCCCACCTAAACAGCAAATCAGCACATTTACCATGTCCGGTACGTATACGATTAAGCCTTACCCAAGTGGACCGGGGCAGATTTGATCCGATGAAACCCTGAGGTTGGGGTGGATATCTTAATGTAGTCCGATTCTACTGTTGGCATCCATCTTGTTGTCCATTGCCTATGTATATCATAGGAATTACCAATCTTTCGGGTAGATCGTATTGGAGGATTTCTAGATCTCAGTCGCTGGTGCTCTTTTGTGATGTCTGGGATATCTTGATGTATTGGTAATTGTACGTTAGCTACAATTTTCTGGTACTCTCTCACTAATGCTGCTGTAATGCGTAGATCTGGTGGAGCAATATTGCTCAGAGTTGGCAGCCATCTCACTGGCGTTGATTTTATTGTTCCAGTGATTATTCTCATGGTTTGGTTAAGTTGGACATCGATTTTGCTTGTATGTGCACTATTTAGCCATACTAGTGCACAATATTCTGCCACTGAAAAAACCAAAGCTAGAGAAGAGGTCCGAAGAGTATCTGCAGAAGCATCCCAAGTTGTTCCAGCAAGTTTTGATATTAAATTATTTCTTGTTCTTAGTTTACCGGCTGCGTTTGTAAGATGACTTTTGAAGGTGAGTGTTCTATCAAGTGTCAAGTGTGACGCCCAGATATTTGGGGTTGTTATTATGTTTGATACTGTATCATTTAGAGTTACATTGAGAGTATCGTCCTCAAGTTGATTCTACAGGTGAAAGAGACAGGTTTCAGTTTTGCTTGCGTTAGGACGTAAGCGCCAGTTCTTAAAATAGTTACTTAATGTAGTTAAATCCTCGTTTAGAGCTCGATCTCCTGCTTCTTTACTATTATCTTGGAAGCCAATGGCCAGGTCGTCAGCATAAGCAAATTTTCTCGATTTTGTTTAAGGTATATAAGCTGTATAAAGGTTAAATAATAAAGGAGCTAGCACTGAGCCTTGAGGTAAGTCGTTGTTAGGTTTTCTAACGTTACTCTGTGCATCATTCATGTATACCTGAAACAGTCTGTTAGTCAGTAGATTGTTTATCAGCTGACAAGTTTTTAGGCAAGGTATGATTTTCATCAGCTTATAAATAAGACCCTCTCTCCACACAGTGTCATAGGCAGACGTGAGATCTATAAATGTTATGGCAGATTTTTCGCGTCTTTCAAAGCCAGCTTCAATAATTGTAGTTAAGGACACTTAAGGAGCACTTGGTCACAGCAACTTCGTCCTCTTCTAAATCCAGCTTGATTAATTGGTACAGCATCCTCAATGGTGTTACATATTCGATTATATAAAAGTTGTTCTAGTAATTTAATTAATATTTCATGATGATTGTTCATCTACAGTTAGATACGAGATTACATTAATTTAATACCAAAGTTTTATGTAAATTGACTTATTGCCTTAGCTTATATATCTTAATTACCCACTAATTATTTTATTTAAATGTTTATATCGATTTGTTAGTATTAAAGTCTACATCGATGTTTTGTAGAGAGATAAAAGATCTTGCAGAATGGCGAAGGTAGCTCACTGTAGAGTTCCACCAGCTCCATCGAACGGAGTTATTCGATGCTGGGACAAGTCCGAGATGGGTTCTTTTGTACCTTCAGGAGCAAAATGTAATGTGTGGTGCAACGAAGGCTATAAACTGATGGGAGATTCCCAGATGATCTGCGGTGATTCTGGAAGCTGGGGAGAAAACGAACCGCAATGTTTAGGTAATTTCAATAATTATTTTAAGAATGAGAACAGCATTTATATTAATGTAATAACAAATACGTATTGTTACACTTCTTTATAATTACATTTATTCAAAACAAAAAAACAATATTACCTTGGCCTTACCTGGCCTTGGCTTCACCTTAAACCTTTAAGCGAGCAAATTTGCAGACTGTTTCGTCAGGGATGAATGTTGTTCTTCGCAGGGAGGCAATTTTCCAAAATTAAAAATAACAAGAGCAATTACATAACGGTGTATACAAACTAAAATGTGGCGACTGTCCAAAAACTTACATCGGTCAAACTGGTTGAAATTTTATCAAAGGTATAGCAGAACATAAAAGGTCTTTTAATAAAAGAAAACCATATAATCTGCTTTATTTTTGAGCTTTTAACTGATAACTTTAAATAATATTTTAGTTGCGACATGTCCAAAATTGCCTTCAATACAAAATGGTTGGTATCTTCCTGGTGTCTGCAATTCAGGAAGAACTTACATTGGCGAGTCATGTAGTGTATATTGCAGACAAGGTTTTATGTTGAAAGAAGGTATTGAAAAATATGTTTGTGACCCTAACATGAACTGGATACCAACTGTTAGACCAGATGCTCTGTACAACGCTTGTACAAAAAGTAAGTATAACTTATTTTTGGTATGCGGTAGAGAGAATTTTATGTGTTTCATATCAATGTAGCATAAGAGCCATGATATAAGGAAACAAGGTATGCTCACTAGGTGGACTCGTTTTTGCACATTTCTGCGCCGACCAAAATCCACCATCTTTTCAATATGTCACATGCGTGTAGGGATGGTGACCTGATCCCGTACCAGTTACTTTGGAACATGTATTTTATTTATACTTGTGGAACTGATCCCTAACACCAATATATTATAATAAACGAGTACGGGTTTCATTGCATTTGTCCTTAATTTTTATCGTGCATTTCTCAACGTTTACAAAGCTTTAGATAAATATCAACAGATGACAATTGGCGTGAAGTAGACAAAACTATCACCATTTTTTTATGAACTTTTTATACAATCTCTGAATAACAGTAATTTAAGTATTTGAAGTTAAACAGTCATTTAAATAACTATAAAGAAATCTAACAAAATACAAATAATGTTGTCGTTATGTTTAGATATCTATTAAACGAATGATAACAAACTGATTTCCAAACCAGTATTTTTTAACAGGTATATTTGTTTACGCATATCAGTTTGACCTGATCCACAAAAATACTTGGATCAACCACCTCTACATGCTTGACGTCTGCTTTGTTTTGCATTTTTTTAACCTTACTTTGCAGTGTATTGGAATTTAAAAGTAAATTTGTTTCGATTTTTTAAAAATTATTTTAGCAAGAGTCTGTTCAGATCATTTTAAATCTGAATTAATTGGATTAATGTAGAATATTAATTTTATTTTATTTTATTTAACTACGATATTTTTTATCAAATGTGTACATATTTGAATTGCCGCCTTCAAAATGGCGGATTTTGGTCGTAAACGCGATTGGCTGTTCAAAATAGATGCGCGTGAGCATACCATGTTTCCTTATATCATGATAAGAGCTATTTTATGCGTCTTCATAATTTTATTATATATCCCAGTCCTAATTTAGCCTGTACATAAAACATATACAGAGTTTAATGGGCCGTGATGATCGCTAATGCCCTTAAAGGATAATGCACGTGAAGAAGAATATACTTCCATAAATTAATATTAAAAGAAATATTTGAATCGGTGAGTTGAAAAAGGTACCCGAGTCATTTTTTACAAGTTTCGGGAAACGCAAAAAAACTTGATAACTTGTTTACTTTTTAAATTAAAATTTCCAGAAAAATTCCAGAAGTTGCAATTGGTGGTAAAAACTATATAATAACCAAAATATAACCAAAGTTTAGGTAGGTTATTAATAAAAAATATTTATCATTGTTGACTTAGGTACCTTTTTGCTTTCAATTGACATTTTTTAAGTACCACTTAAAATAAATCACTAAAGAATTTTACAGTTTTAATTTTTTGTTTGTTAAATAGTTGCCAATCCTTCATCTTTTTAATCCGTTGTTTCCCAATTCAGTATTTCGTCATAAAATTGGATGTGGTCGCTTGGAATGTAATCATACAATCTTCTCAAATCATCATTTTTTTTTTCTTTTTGATTGGTACAAAACCCCTGGGATAAGCTTTTGTATCAGGTAGAGCGAGACAACGATTCTTCTGCAAGTTGAATGTATGTAACGTTTGAAACTCTACTGATCTTATGTGCAAACTTGCTTTGACACTCCTTTTTCCAAATGAGAATACTGAAAATAGTGAAACTGTGAAATATTAAGCGATTGCTTTTCTTGATGAGGCAAGGTTTTTGTTTCGGTTGATACTACAGTCCTTTTATAGACTGTAGGCTACCAATTGGTGTAGTCAACAACCATTTCGGTCTGAACTAAGGTCACCGTGCATGGAGATTTCTTTGAAGAGTTTACAATTAATTCACAAATTTCCTTAGGGGTGAAAATCCTATTTTGTCTTCTCATTTTCCTCTTTATCATGCAGAAGCTTCTGTCGCAAGGGTTATAAGAGTGACCGCGAAAAGGGAAAAATTGCTTCACAACTTTGAACCTTCCTAAGTCACACAAAGCCATACAAACTTTAGACAATGTGTGGTTTTTGTTCTGTCCCCAACAATTATCAGTTTAGTTTTTGTGTTATAAACACAGAAAACTTGTACGGTTAATTGGCGCAGGCTTCTTGCACCGGTATTTTGGGCAACTCAATGTTTTGCATAAAGTCAAAGACTAGGCCAACAATTTTGTCATTTGACTCAGACAAATTTGTTGTATTTTTAAGAGCATTGTGAAATTGCTTGGCACGCCTACGATGAACCATTAATTCAGCCGTCGCAACACGCTTTGCATTTTCATTAAGATGAGGGCTTTTCAATTTAACTTGACGTTCCTCACAGTAGGCACAATTTGCGGTTTACCAAATTTCAAATCAAAGTTTTCATTGAAATACTTGAGATAAAACTCGTATTTAAGACTAATACTGGGATATTGCTCATTGAACAGCTCATGCATTTTTCTTACTGTCAGTTCTGAAGACAAGTAAAGGCATTATTTTGCTGCGTAATGTGTTTTTTTTAACTGGGAAAGATTTAATGTGATCATGAATCAATTTAAGCAAATCAGGTGTTTTTTTGTTAGAAGGGGATTTTTTCCCTCTCATGTCCCGAGGAGATTGCCCATCTTTTAATAACTTTCGAATTCGCCTAATTTTTTTATCTGTGACATCATAAAGTCGGAAAAAGGCATTTCTACAAACTTGAATCTTTTTACCTTGGTGAAGTTTATGATACTTAAAAGTATTTTCAAGTTCTTTAGATTCATTTCCCTTCCTTGGTCTTCTTTGTTTGACGTCAAATGCTTCAATCATGCGTTGCAAGTGTAGATCTTGTTCGTTCTTACCTGCCAATTTGTATAATGAATCAAATATCAAGGCGGTATCGGCTTCATCAAATTGTTCAAAACACTTTTTTGTGCATCTTTAAATAAAGCGAATAGCATTAGGAGACAGCAGAAAAAATACTTCGCAGGGGTTTAAATTGGTTACCAACAGTAAAATGTGTAGAAAACAAACATCAAAGTTATGGGCTGGAAAATGTGTAACCTGAAATAAAATAGGAGCTCACACAATGATCTACATTCATTGCCTCAGTAGTAATATGGCTTGGATAGGATTCATGTATGTATAGGCCTAAGAATAAAGTTTAACCAACCTTTTAATAGTACCACTAGGCCTTGGCTTAGACTTTGTTAACTTGTAAAAAATTCAGGTAGATGTTGTATAATCAATAGCTAACCTATTATCTAGAACGTTGTTTTAGTTAACGAACAAAAACTTTGCCTAGTAGGCTAATGAAACATGTAAAATAGGCTATTGAAACATAACCTATAACAGGGTTATGTTTATTCTTGTAATCCGATAACATTCGTTTTGTTTTACAACGTAAATAAAATATAATTTAGAGTTAACCATTCAGAACAAAGTATAGTGTTATTGAAGTTTAAATTTGTGAAATCTTGCCTGCATGGTGATGAAACAGCTTTGGCTCTTTTAACTGTACCACTATGATTAATGTACTCTTCCCCTTGTAGGATTTTTTGTTTTATTATGTTCCTTTTATAACGTTCAGGAGGTCTTTGTCTTTTTCTACTTTCTTGTATATTTTCACGGTCATCTTCCATGTTTTAAGATCACAATTGCCACTAATAATCAATTTAATCTTAATGTTTAAAACAAGAAAATGTGTTGTCAACAACAACGTTGATTTCCCTTGGCAGCAGACAGCTGACTGACGACTGCCACCAAACACAGAGTAGGAAACAAAAGAAGTTGGGTGAAAAAACGTACCTGAGTCAGTGATTGAGGTACCTTTTACCTCTAAACACATAAAACTGTATATTGAAATATACCATTTAGAGAACTTTTCTGAGGTCCCTTTTTACACTAAGACATGTGTCTACCTTTAAGGAAATAAAATCCGCTAAAAAGTCAAAATGCCTGATTTTTGACTGAGGTACCTTTTTCAACTCACCGATTCATTTATCCTTTTAGGTATCTAGGTGTTACAATTTTTTTGCCATCAGTAGGTACAATCATATACAGATTGAACAAATTTAAAACGGATCATACAATTTTTAATATATGTCTGTTTGAACTGCATTTGAAATAGTGGACCAATATAAAACTTGGACAAAAATAAATCCATATTATCCGCTGATAGACCTTGTATAAAATATCGTTCAACTATCAGTCTACTTTTAGAACGCACCGTAGTCTAAGAGAAACGCCCAAAGTCAATGTTGCCAATCGCCGTGTAATAATCCGATTTGCGGATCTTTTTGAGAGTTATATCTTCTTTGTATCTTTAAATAAATCGGATATTTGCCTATATTTTTCATTGTATTTACCAATCTACTACAACAGACTAATAACAAAAATAAACTTAATGTAGTTATTTCCTTTCTTTCCTGTAAATACATATTTTATGGTTTACAGGAAAGAAACACCTTATTTGAAAAATAGCTAATGTTGGCAACACCGCTCAAAGAAGGCCTTGTTCACAGCCACCTTTACTTCCAAGCCATGAAGTAAAAAAGGCAACACCGCATTCTATGACGTCGGTAGTCCGATAATCAGCTGTAAGGTCTACCAGAATATTAAACTAATTTGAATTTTAGGAAACTGATATTTTGAAAACTTCAATTCATTACAGAAATATTTTTAGGAAAATTAAATTAATAAAACCTTATATATACCTAGTAAATATATATATAAAGTTTTATTATTATTTAGGTTATATTATCAATAAAATAATCACTAGAGTAAAATTTATTGCACTTAAAATACAGTGTCAAGCAGTTAATCTTACAATCAAACACAGTCAAGAATCTATAGAAATTTTAAAACACAAAAACTTAGTGTAACTATTATGATTAAAAAATTCATCCTAAGAAATCAGACACAAGATAAATATGGTTCTAAATTAATCTAATTGAAAATTAAATATTTTACTATTTACTTATAACTTTTGTTGAATTTTCATACTTAGATATAAAAAAGTAGCAATTTTAAATATGAATAGGTTTGTTGTCATATAGACAAAGTTAAAAGAGGTATACATGAAAAATGTGTTGAATGTAACATACCATTTATAACTTGTATATCGATTTAAAATAGCCTATATTCTCAAAAGATTTTTGAATGTAATACTCAAATTTGTTATCACTTATCTAAAAAGCAGATCTAAATGAGAAAGTAAGTTCTCTAATTGTGACCATCTTGTTAATTTACTGTATTGTAAAATCCATTTCAAATCATTACCACTTAATCTATTCTTACCTACATTGACGATTACACTAAAATTACTGCTAACTATTACACTACATATTACACAAATATTATCACACTTGTGTCCCAACTGATTCATGTTTAATACATAGAAATATACACAATCACTTGTAATTTTACTTGTCCAGTTTTTCAATGGGATATTATTGTCTAAGTCTAATTGACATAATTATGTTATCTCTTGTTCCCTCTTCTTATGCAAAAAGTTTCTTCTGTCTTCGGGATTCCTTCTTTCTTTAGTACGATGAACAGTTACATATGATGGTACTTCAGGAAATATATTAGGAACTGCATTGCCTTTTAATTTGGGAAATATTAACTTTTCAATGTGTACATTTCCATCTTTATCTTCTCATTGTTCAGTCCGCTGAATATCATCTTCATGAAAATGTTTGGCACATACTACGGAAGATTTGGTACTTGTACAGCCTTCTCTATGAATAGAGCATAACCCAGTATACCTTCTTTGGGGATCTTTGGGAAACGAAAACGTACTTTCTGTCTGTTTTGTTTTTAAAGTACTGGCATAATTGGTTTTGCAACCAGGTACACAACAATGCCAGAGCATCTGTAACAAAAAACAAAAGTATTATTATTTTTGTTTTTAGTTTACATATTTTGTAACAAGAAGCAAAAGTATTATTATTTTCAGTTTGTTTTGTAGGTTATATTTATACTTGCCTTTTAAATTGTCGTTAAGAATCTTCTAAAAGTTCTAAATTTAGTGAAATTTCACTTATATTAATATTTTCTAATTGATGTAAACACAATTTACAAATAAAACATTCGAATGAAGTTAAAAAAAAAACAATAAATTCAACAAACTTTACAAGCCTTCCTATATGAAATGTTAAACCAAAACAAACCACAGTCGGACTACCACGCGTTGTTGCCAAATTTCTACTTCATGGCTTGGAAGTAAAGGTGGCTGTGGTTTGACAGCAAATAAAATCTAATCTTTTTTTTTATAGTTTTCATAGTGCATTTTCCTATTATAGTGCATAGTGCATAGTGTTTTCTCTACTTATATATACTTAATCTATGGTGCATTTCATATTGATTCTAGACTGGAAGTCTGTAGCGTGAAAATAAAATATTTTCGTAAATATGTTAAAATGTATAAAATTGAAGAAAAAATACAAATTTTAACTTGGTATTTTGGAGGTCACTCGATTCGAGATATAGTTAATTTATTCGTTGGTTGTTTTGCGAATAGGCCGGTTCCTTCGATTTCCACGGTTGAAAGAATAATTCAAAAATTTCGCATACCTATGTGAATGTATTCAAAACTGCAACAAGTGTAACAATCTTGGTGAACCACCTGTTCGTCAAAAAAATGAACAACGTATAAGGTATAAATAATGAAGTTGATGTTTGTTTTGTTGTTGAGACCAGCCAGCCGTGTTCAAGCAGGGAAATTTATGAACAAGTAAACAAAAACACTGTTCGAGGTATTTTAAAAAGAAATGGATACCGTTGCTGTTGCTATAAAGTTCAAACAACCCAAGAACTTTTTCCCGAGGACAATACTAGACGATGGTATTCTGTGAAGAGATGATGGAAAAGCAAAATGCTAACGACAATTTTTTAAAGAACATTTTATTTACTGACGAATCGACATTTTCTCTTCACAGGAAACACAATCCATCCATTGTTCGATATTGGTCTCGGGAAAATAAACATGTAAGTATTTCTGTGCGCACACAATACTTGGAGCAATAAGTACAAGAAGAAATATTGTATATTTCGTACAATAATTTATTATCCTACATTTATTAGAAATTTTCATAATGACACTTATGATAAATTATGAAAATTATATTGAGTAAAAGTTAATTAACATGTTTTTGTATTTTAGCACCTTCAAACACTTACATAAATTGTCCCCAGAAGGGACAGATCGACTTTATTTTACCAGAAGGCCAACGCCAGATGTTTGTTAGAATTCCCAGACCGGAAGCAAATGTAGATTGGAGGTAAATACGAATATTTTCTTTCACAACTTGAACGCATTGAACATAAAATTCCTTTCATATAAAGTCTTCTGATTATTGCAAATCCAGATAAAGTATACCCAACCTTACATGTTTTTACAAATATGCCAATAACACAGACATTTTTTTTCATAAATGGAGTATGCTGATCACAAATCTGTGCTTAGTTTTTTCCAGAATGTCAGCTTTTCAGGGAAAGTATGTTTTTGTGTGTGTGAAGTTTTTCATAGAAACTGCCAAAAATACTAAATAAATATTAATTGAAACTATATTTAATAGAAAATTACACTGCAAAATTGAGTTGCTCATAAAAAAACAATGTAGTATAATCTACAGTAGACAATCGTTGGCTTTTTTTTAATAAAATTGTTCTCTTTTTTTGTAAAAACTGTATTTTGTAGTTTTCTTTGTTGAATTTTTATAAGTGAGTCTTTCTTCACAGTCATCAGCTATCAGTCTAATATCCAATCTTCCTTGGTAAAGTCTCTCTATCTCCTTTATGTTTCCTCGCTGACAGCTCCAAGATTTTTGGAAAATTAGTCAACTTGGGAATCCATAAAATGAAGTTTGACGCTTATCTCAGTTTTTTATAATTTTCGACTATGTTGACCACAATTGTTTTATAGTCTCTTGTTATTTCCAAGGAAACTGTGTCCATAATTTCTACGAAAAGACTTCATGCTTCAGATTCATCCTAAGTCATTGTATTCTGGAACAATCTGTCCAATTTTAAGGTTCTAATTTGGGGACCCAGAAAAATTCTTTCTTTAAGTTTAGCTTCGTGTAGAGTATTTTTGCACCGATATTTAAAGCTGTCACCTTGTTGATTAAAAGCTTTGAAATTTGCTTTATTAATCCTAACTTATGTGAAGGGGGGCTGCAAAGAACTAGTTTTGGGTCAACTGATAGAACACGCTGCACATGTCCCGATACAAGTCTTTATCTGAGAGGAAATTTTTTCTTAACTTTATGTAAATTTTGTGCTTGACTGTCTCACTCCCACAAAAAAACATGGATACTTTATGAAACCAGACTGCTGACCTAAAAGCATAGATATTATGCAACAGAGTTGCCAACAATATTCGCTATACATTCTTTATTTTACTTAGCAACAACTCAAGGCTTTTATATGTTTCTTTGAGATGCAGAGAGACCAATGTGCAACAAAAGACACTCCAGACTCCTTTTAGAAGAATCATAAATAACCGCCATGATCTGGAATCGTAATTGTCAGCTCCCAGCTTCATCACTACTTCAGGAATATTATAACCAAAACACCAGTGAACCCTGTTGAAAGAAATAGAGATTTTTACCCATATGCATTTGAAATGGAAATACTTATACTTTAAGATGATATTGAAAAAAACTAACGAGTTTACATAACCTCAGAAATGGCAAAAAATCTCTATTTTTGTACTTTTAGGTTAGATTATCTTAAAAATCAGAACAAATTTGCCAATTTGGAGACTCGTATTCAGCGCACCAAAAATCTTCAGAGAAGTATACTCTGTTTTTTGGTTTTCAGCCTTGTAGGCATGTGTAGTCATTTTATCTAGCAAGTAAGCTTTCACCAGATAAGGGTTGGGTTTTCTTGGCGTTAGAAATCTGAACAATAATTCTATATCATCACTTCAAAAATTAGTAAATTCTTACATTTTACCTTATTCAGTATATTACATTTCTGTATTTTATGCTATAGTTTTGTAACTTCCCAACCAACATGGGGCATCAGATTGGAAACAACCCTACCAGCGGGTAGGACTGAGGTTCGATTCATGGCGGCGTCACCTACAGACTTCAACAGCACTGCCTCGTGTCGTTTGGTTATCAATGTGTTAGATAAAGAAGCTCCACGTATGACGGGATGTCCAGAAAACATCGAAAGGCGCCTAGCGACTGGAGAGGGGACTCAGATAATCCATTGGAGAGAGCCACACTTCTTTGACAATGTTGGTGTAGCTACTGTGTACAAAACTCGAGTAAGCAGAATATTCAAATAATTAAGATTTATTTTGTTTTGGGATTATTGCATCTTTGGATTTCTTTTTGTCCGTTATCATAAAATAATATGATCAAAAGTATACAGTGTGTCCTTAAAGTATGGAATAAATTCGATATTTTCTAAATATAAAGCCTTTTTAAAAAAAATCTAAAACATGTTGATTTTTAAGTTTAATGTTTTACATTTTACAATAAAAGATAATTCTACAAGGTGATACATATTGTCCTGAAGCTATTTTCTTGTGGCATTTTAAATTAATTACTATTTAACTGGGAATACGCCACAATTAAAGATTAAAGTACGTTTATTGACGTTTCAATTTCCACTTCGGAAATCGTTCTCAAAATACAAATAGTAAATTAAACAAATTTTGTTTGTTTGTTACTTAGTGAAAAATTCTTCTAATAATTTAATTTTATCTGACTTATTTATATTGACAATTCAGACACACATTATGAATTTTAAAGTAGACGACTTTAAAATGATATTGCTAATATTGTTGAGTTGCGCTTCTAGGACGACTTTACTTATAAGGTAGTTCATTCGATTACATGAAATCAACTTTAACTTGAGAATATCCGTTAGAAAAAAATGATAGCATGTAATTCGTCTTTACAAAGACAAACACATGCCATAATGACACATCGATTTTTATTTTTGCTTGCTGCTCTAAGATTTGATGACAAAAATAGTAGAGGGATACGCAAGGAAACTGATAAGCTTGCTGCTATTCGAGTTACACTGGATCGTTTTATGGAGAACTGCAACAATAACTACTGTTTAGGAGAGAATAAGTAACAATTGACGAAATTTAATACCTTTCAGAGGTAGATGCAGTTTTATTCAGAATATCCCGTCCAAGCCTGCAAAGTATGGGTTAAAAGTATTTGTATTGTGTGATGCCCAGACATGGGGTTCCTACCACATAAAGAAAGGTAACTATAGTGTCATATGTCCCTGCAAAAAATAAAGCTGTGTTTTTGGTATCAACCATGCATAATGATTCTGCAGTAGATCCGAAAAAAAAGCCAAAAATAATTTTAGATTATAATTCTCACAAAGGCACATCGACACAGAAGATAAAATGTGCGGTACATACTCGGTATCAAGGAGAACGCAAAGGTGGCCGATGGATATATTTTTTCAGCTCCTAAACATCGCAGGAATTAACAGCCAAATCCTGTATAAGGCTGCAAATATAAACAATCCTCAAAAATATAGAAGGATATTTTTAAAGGAATTATCTTTATCTTTGTTGAGACCACACCTTTCAGAACGAGCTGAAATACAGAGTTTGCCCTTAGATTTAAAACTATTCTTGAAGAAATATAAAGCTACTGTAGTGGAAGAAGAAGAAGAAGAACAACCAGCAAAAATACGAGGAAGGTGCTATTGCTGCGGAAGGCGTAAAAATAGAGTAACAACCATTTCTTGTCGACATGCAGGAGAATTGTTTGCAAAGAATATTCCACCATTATTTATCCTGAGTGTATTAACTCAAATAACCAGGAAGAAGATGAAAATGAATAAAGATTCGTATGTGTTTATTTTTCTACCTGGTTAAAATTTTTTTAAAAATTGCATAATTTTTTAGGTTGGTGTTTCAATATGTAATAAATTACTGTTTTCGTCTTTTCTCACTAGTTTACCATTTTGAATTATTTTTTAGTTTTATTTTTTATTATATAATAACTAATTATTGATTAAGCACAAGTTGTGCAATTTAATATAGTTCTAATTATTAAAGAAATTTTGTTTCTGTAACTATTTGTAACTGTAGTTAAAAGTTAATTAAAATTTTCAACTTATATGCTTCATGTTCAATTTGTTTTTTTATTTTCAGGAGTCTGGCAGTGAATTTGGATCAGGCCTTCATCATATTACATACGTGGCAAGTGATGAAGCTGGAAACAGAGCTTTTTGTCATTTTAGTATTGATGTTCGAGGTAGGTATATACTTTTTTAAAGAATTCAGCAAGTTCCGGCCCTGGCCTTATTTCACCTGATTCTTGGAATGTGATCTTATTCTTCAACATTGCCTCCTTCTAGATACACTTCCAAGGGTTGTTTGATAATGTAATGCTTTTTTTGCCTCTGTGCTTAAAATATGCCTTAACTTGAGCAGCAACTTCCTATTCTATTCAAATTAATTTTTCGTAATTTTTTGACATCAAAATGAAGCCAATACCCTCCGAAAATCAGGTATAAAGAATATGACGGATTGCGAAGTGGTGCGACATCTTCGTAAAAGAACAGTAGTAGCCGTTTTTTTACAATTTCTTCGTGGATATACCAATTTGTCCTATGGCTCTAAAGCCCAATGGGAGCACTAGCTTCCTTCAGCAAACCTCTTTATTCGTTTCAATGTATAACCATTCTCTACGATTGACTGGTGAGGAGATTTCTTGTTCGAGGAAAACTTATGCTGTGTACTGTGCTTAAATATCTTGCTACGCTTCTTGTGATCGTTGCTATACGCATGCGAGTGGAAGGAATCTTATTCGCTAATTTAATTGCTAGGTTTTTTTGTATTTTTTTATGGATGTATATATACATACATCAAAAATAATCGACGTAAGATGTATAGAAGAATCCTGAAGATATCATGGACCGAGCATGTAACAAACAACGAAGTCATGAGAAAAATCAACAAAAGAATGGAAGTATTGGAAACTAGAATAATCTGCTATGCAGACGACGGAATACTACTCTCTCAAAGTGAAAATGGTTTACAACGTACGCTGCACCAATTTAATATAACAGCTAGAAAATTTAACATGTTAATTTCCCCAAAAAAGACAAAATGCCTGGTTACAACAGCTAAGCAACTAAGATGTAAATTGGAACTGGAAGGTCAGATAATAGAATAAGTGATGGAGTTTAAATACCTAGTCATCACATTATCTAGCTAAGAAAAGCTCGAAACCGAAGTGGAAGATGAAATGAATAAAGCAAACAGAGCCGCAGGATGCCTAAATGAAACAATATGGAGAAATAAAATTATCGGGAAAGAAACAAAAGGCAGAATTTACAAAACAGTCATCAGACCAATAGTTACATACGTGGTAGAAGCAAGACCTGACACAGAGAGGACACAAAGAGAACATCAAAAACTGGGTAAGAAATAAAAGAGTGTAATGGAACAATCATATAGCCGAATGACAACAAATAGAGAAATAAAGACGGCAAGAGACGGTTTCCCAATAGGAAGACGATCAGTAGGAACACCACGAAAATGATGGAATGACAACCTACTGGATTGGATGATGGAGGTACATTGAAAAAAATACAGAGTCATGTCTATACATGACAAAGAAGTTTTCTTGTAGAATTGGTTTCTATCTGGTTTGTGTTTTTGTGCACAATCTTTTGTATTTTAACTTCTTGGATGTTTTTCAATAGAACCAAAACATGTATATAATGTTTCACATTGTATTCTTCTTCTTCACGTTTCGCTCCTATCGGAGATTGGAAATCATTCTGGCAATTATAATTTTGTTGGTTACTCGCCTGAATAGTTCAATTGAACTGCATCCAAACCATTCACGGAGATTGCGTAGTCACGAGATTTTACGTCTTCCTACGCTTCTTCTGCCTTTGATTTTACCCTGTATTATATTCCTTAGTAGTTCGTACTTTTCACCTCTCATGATGTGCCCCAAGTATTCCAATTTCCTGATGTTTATGGAATTTAAAACTTCGCATTGTTTTCTTAGTTGTTCGAGAACTTGTTCGTTTGTTTTGCGATCAATCCATGATATTTTCCAAATACGTCGGTAACACCACATTTCGAATGCTTCTAGGTTTTTAAGTTTTTAACTCATTGTATAGTGATATAATCATAATTAAGCGTATATAATATCACACAGAGTTCACAACATTGCTGTGTTTGATTTAGACATTCAGTATTTAAGGAAGTTTTATCGAAGAAGGAGAAGAAGAAGGAAACACCAAACTCGTAGTTATTTTCATTTCATAGTATATTACTGTAATATTTTTTTTGCAAAAATAATTCATCATCGTCAGTGACAGAGCTTTTCCATGCTCTAACTTCAATCATCTTCTAAGTTGTCTTGATATCTAAATCCCGGTCTTCTTCTGGCTTGTTGTCCCATCGACCTTCACGTAAAATTCGAGTATATTAATTTTTTTTATTGTTTTTAGATGATCTGGACAACGTACAATCAAACTCCATTGAGCAACTAACCTCAGCCACTTACACAAGTCATAGAACCGCTGGAAAATATAAAGCTGTTTTAATCTGCCCCAGTGGTGTTCAGTTTATGTCCGATAATCCAGATCGTTATAACGTAAGTATATTTTACAATGGCGAATGGCGATGGTATGAAGAATATAACAAAACCAAGGTCTGACATTAAACTATAATTCGTTTTTCAAAATAAACAATATTCCATCAACAAGCTCCATTACTTTTAAGGAAAAATAGAAATCGAAAAATCGAAATAAATATGTTTTACACTAAAATTTTGGTTAGTTCCCAATAAAAGTATAAATTTTATTGTACACAATATTCATATCCAGATTTAGCCATACGGCCCACACTCCCTCTAATTGAAAAATTCACTTATCCCAGTATCAAAAGAATTGAGCTCTGGTGGGACTCTTTCCTTATTATCGAGCCCTAGGTGACTTGGTATGCTGAAGTATCTCCCAAAAATTTTTGTACTCATCTGGATGTCGCGAAGAGTACAGCTTTCTGCATGGCTTTATAAAGATTTCATTTAGTCATTTAGACCCAGCTGTTTTATGTTTGCTAGGAGGTTTTTGGGAGTAACACCAGTAGTATATAGAATAATAGGTACTGTTTGGGTACTTTCCATTCTCTATTGTCTCCTGATTTGTATTTTTCTAGATCTCTATACTTGGTGATCTTTTCGTTGTATTTAACACGCAAATTATGGGTGTTAGTTATCACCACATCAATAAGTGTTGTTTGCCTAGTAAGTTTATTATGAGATCCGATCTATTCTGTGCCACTGGTTGGTCTGTAAGTACAGTGCGGACCATCGAGCAAAAAGACAAAAGAGGGAATGTAAAGGTAGTGGGGGCAAAAATATTGTTAGACAGGAAGTGCGATCTTTAGAGGCCACATTAAACAAGGAAAGAGAGTCTCTCTCCTTGTTTGACACCAAATTTAGTTGGGTTATGTTATTGTTTGTCCCAAATGTCACATGAAATCTTATTTATATTGAAGTTTTTTAACAATTGTGTCGCATTTTAGACTATTATCGTTAATAATTAATTAAAACTTTCTCGTCTAAGACACATTCTGAAAAATATTATATAGCTACTGTTAATAAGTGTCGGAAAATTTAAATTTGGCGCATTCGCATTTCCGGATATGTCCGCCATCAGAGGCCACTTTTTTGGTCTCCTTTTCATAAGGATTAGATTCCCTCTTTTGTCTTTTTGCTCGATGGTGCGGACCTAGTATAGCTTGTAGTTGTCATTTTCAAGTATTCGTTAGGGACGTATTAATAGTAAGGAAGATGGTCGTTTTGGAGAAGTCCCAGTTTGTCAGCTAGTTCTTGTTGGATAATCTTTCCTACTGAGTCATGGCATTCTTTATAATCAGTACCAACAAACGTCTGGCAGCCCCTGAAAGATGTTGAATGGTTTTTTGGGCTTGACATCCATATCGGCATTTGTTATTTTGGATTTGATAATCTTTAACAATATATTTCAGGTAATTTTTAGTTGGAATCATCTGATCCTAAATGTCAAGTAGGAAACCCTCAGTCTCGGGAAACATCTTTCCTGATGTTAACCAATAGTTTGACGCTGTATTGTCGACATATTCTTGGCTAATCTCATTGAGATGTCCCCCATGTAGAGATTTACTCATCCAGGTGCGCATTAGGTATAATTCGGTGATCTTTTTGCTCATGAAGTTTGCTGGTAAAGTTTTCGAACCAACCTTGACTAGCACGAAAATCAGTTTTCTTTGCTAATTCCTGATAAAAAAAACTGAGCTTTATTTTTTAAAATGTCACCTGAAATAGCAGCGTGTCTGCTTCATTGTTGCTTAAACCAGATGTGCAGAGAATCTTTAACATCAGGAAATTCGCTTATTTTAAGGGTTTTTCTGTCATTAGATTCATTTTCTACAGATTTCATTAATTTTTCGATTTTATCTTTTTTATATAATGTCGTACACTGTATTTCGTCCAATATCATTGAATCTAGATTTCACCTTTTAGAGTCAGCGTTTTGTGCTTTTGTTCTGAACTTGCTTTGTGTTCGCCATTGAACTGAACTTTCTAAACGAATTAAATAAAAGTTTAGCACTACGTATTACTGTATCTAAATACTATATAGAATCGAACTGCTCACGGAAAACATGCCAAATGATGGATCAGGTAAGAATGAGATTCATGTCGCGATAAGTTTCAGTACAAGCAGACACGGCGGCGTCCTTGATGGGAGGTGTATCGGACTACCGAGTATGTCGGATTGCAAAACGTCGGAGTATCAAGGTTGTACTGTAAAAAGAAGATGAAACAGCTATACTAAAACAATTTTTAATTGAAGGTGATTACTTGGCAACATCGTACTTAACGAAGCCCTTAACGATAACTTTTCAACGAAATCGTATTGAAATTATCAATTTTGCAGAGGCGTACCAAAAAAATTTTTAATTATTTATTTAAACACATAAGTAATTACGTAAAAATTAAATCTAAGACCGATTTAATTATTAAATTATCATGTCTCTTTTAACAGGTATCTTATAGTTGTCTAACAAAATAAAATAAAATTTTATTCTTATTAGAGAGTATCTAATACAGAACTTCAAAAAACAGAAAACTTTGGAAAATATTTTTTTTTCATTAGACTAAAAACAATCTGCAATTTTAATTACACATAATTACACATCATTCTCTATTTATAGAATTGCTGTGTGCTGTAAACGTTATATTTGTTTTTTTTTTAAACTTAATTTGAAAGTTTGTTGTGTTTATTCGTTTACATAAATATGAAAATATATTATGAAGTTCATATAAATTAAAATGAAGTAAGCTAAACTATTATCATATTAATGTGTTTATATAGCAGTGCATTTGTTTATTTCAGTAATTTCTCGAAATATGAAATGAAGATGGCACTAACTACTAAAGAGTTAATAGCTTTGTTAGAAGAAGACTCAGATTGTGAAAATGCCACTTAATGTGGTTTATTTGCCGCCGAGATTAGATTAGAAAGTTTCTGATGTAGAAGACATTGATCTTCTTCTTCTTCTTCCTTCTAGTTTGTAGGCTTTAAAGCCTGTTTCTTCTTCAATATTAGCTTCCTAAATTGTTTAAATTGTCGCAACATCTTTTTCTTGGTCTGCCAATACTTCTTCGTCCATTTGGTGACTTATCTCGTGCTATTCGTACTATTCTATCCTCCGCCATTCTACTGATGTGTTTGTTCCACTTTTGTTTTCGTTTTGTCACCCATCCATTTATGTCTTCTATATTGCATGCTCTTCTTATGTTTTTGCTTCTCTCCCTATCCAACAGACTTCTCCTTGATATTCGTCGGAGTATTTTCATCTCTGTTGTTTCTAGCAGTCGTCTCGTTTTAGATGTGTCAGGTCTTGTCTCAGCCGTGTATATAGGTCTAATTCCTGCTTTATAGATTCTTGTTTTTGTGTCTTGTCTTAGGTGTTTGTTCTTCCAGATTGTGTCATTAAGAGAACCCGCCGCTTTACCTTCTTTTAAGCTTTGCTGTCGTACTTCTCCTTCAACATCTCCGTAACTAGTTATATCTATTCCCAGATATCTAACCCTTGCTTCCGGCTTTATTATTTTCCCATCAATTTCGATTTTACACCGTAGTGGGTATTTAAATGTCATACATTTGTATTTTTCCGCTGATATTATCATATTGTATTTCTTAGCTGTTGTATTGAAGATATGTGTTAATCTTTAGAGCTCATCTTCTGTCTCGGCGATTAATGCGGCGTCGTCTGCATAACATAATATTTGGATTTCTTTGTTCCCAATTCTGTAGCCATGACTTTTACGTACTACTTGTATTATTTCGTCCATTAATATATTAAAGAGAAGTGGGCTTAACGAGTCACCCTGTCTCCGCTTTGTACCGGTATACACTGTGTTCGTTTTCCGATAAAGTTGTTAGTTTATTGATTTTGTTGGTTAGGACTTTTGTGGTAAGCTTAAGTGCGGTGTTCAGTAGATTTATACCTCTATAAATGTTGGGGTCTTCTTTATCTCCTTTCTTGACCATTGGTATCATTATGCTGTTTCTCCATGCGTCTGGTATCTTGCAGTGCAATATTAGTTTTTGTATAAGTTTTGTCATCTCTAGGCTTAAACTTTCTCATCCGTATTTTAGAAGCTCGTTGGTTATTCCGTCTGGTCCTGGTGACTTTCTATTTTTGAGTGAATTTATGACTATTTCTACTTCGTGAAAACTGATTTCTATTTCGTCTCTTAGTTCAGGTACGTTATTGTGTTGATTATTATTTTCCTTTGCTTTAAACAGTTCCGTCAGGTATCTTTCCCATTCGTTTGCTGGTATATTATTGTATTCCTTGAAGATATTGATGATAATATTATTTGTGAAGAATCAATAAAATCGGATATTGCAGGTACATATGAAATACAAGTGATTGGGAATTCTAACGATTCTAATTATGATATTCCTCTGAACCACAGATAAAACGTCCAAAGAAAAAACCAATAAGTAAAAATAAGGCAAAAATAGTAAATCCAAATTTATCTCAAGTTATAATAACGGATATTCTTTCGTGCTCAGTAGTAATTCAACATCAGTCTGATTGATATTTAGACAATATAAAAGCCAACCATGTAGGCAAGTCATATATTGAAGTTTTTTCACTCTTTTTGATAAAAAAGTAATTGAGAATAACCGTCACAATTTTGAAATGAATAACATAGATTTAAAAAAATTATTAACATATGTATATTATCTGGTTTACACTCTGCTTCAAGTTGATATGCATTGGTCAAAGGATGAGGATAAAGAAGTGCATACTATAAGAGAAAGCATGAGCCGACATAGATTTATAATTTTAATTTATAATAGTGAAGAAACCGCTACATCAGTGTCAGTACATGGGCGTCAATCTAAATTTGCTTTACCAGATGAAACCAGATTCGACAATATTGGCCACATTATAAAAAGAGACGATAGTGCAAAAATGTAGGATGTACAAAAGTAATACTATTTATTTATCTAAAAAGTGTAGAATGCATCTACATCCCGAATATTTCGAAAATTTTTACCTTAAAATTTAATTTACGTTTAAGATATAATATGTTCCTTTATTAAAAATTGTACTGTTTTCCTTAAAAATGAGAAAAAAAATCTTTCTGGTTGTAATTTATTCCTAATTTGTGTTTTTAATCCAATCTAATAAATTAATTGTCAAATTTCTCTTTGTATATTGAGCGGCCGTTAAGGGTTTAATACTATATAAAGAATAAACTGGCCTTAAATTTACTTTACTTACCTCAAAACTATTTTAAAGTTAATAATAAAGTATATTTAATAAATATATTCCCAATAATACACTACGCCTATGTACATTGTATAAAATCTGGAAGATATCATATTTCATAAACTTCAATAAGCTAAGATATCATATTTCTCTAATTAACATTCTTTCTAAAAACGTAAATATATATAGACCAGCAAAATCTTGATAATTTTACCGATGTTCCAAACTATTCTATGAACTTGTCTCACTATACACTCGTGAATCGCACCAATTTATACTGTTACGGGGGCAAATTTATCTTAGATGGGTTACAAATTTACATATTTACATGGGCGAAGCATACAGAATAAAAATGACCCCGGTAAGAATTTACTAATGAAATTTTTCATGGTTGCCGCTACCGTTTAGTTCAATTTGTAGATTAGTCACCTTTAATTGAAAATTGTCCGACTATAAATATGTTGTCTGCAATATATAATATATTATCAACATAGTTATGTAATATGTATCCAGGTCGTTTTTTAACAGCGTAATATTATTTGTTTCGTATATCTAATTTAAATTTTAATTTGCAGAACATGATAACGAGTGAGGCGGGTTGCTACTGGCGCCACGTAAAGGTAACAAAACCCTTAGAGCCACAAAGCTTTCAAATACCCAAGGTATATTCAGAAAGTCGATTACCACCACACGCAAGAAGTAATAGAAGAGTATTTTTCAAATGGAGCAGATGAAACGCCAAATATTAACAAAGATGCCTTTAGTATCTAGGGTGGAAGAGTTAAACATGATAGCAGTCTAGTTTTACTTTTATTAACACCTTGTATATAGTAACATAGATTGTGATACCATTGTGGCTTCTTTATTCAATTGACAAATGTTTTTAGATACATAATTTTTAGGTTGAGTTGTACATGATTAGAACATTTGCCATAACTTTTTGAAAATATTTAATAAACATTTTATAAATGTTATCACCAACTGTTATTGGAATATATTTTGTATTGAGAGTTATATTAAAACATAAACAAGTACTTATATGTGTTATTATTATTTTTTGTTAAATTGTATAAATGGTAGATACGGAACGTACTGTTTAGTTTGCTCACCATGAATTTACATAGAGATCATCAAAAATATCAAAGAGTCTAGCGGAAAACATCTTCACAAAGAATAGAATTAAATGAGCTATTATTAGTTGTAATCCTTACCAGTTTTTGGATGGAATAATATCTTTCCAGCTCTGCTACACTTCTTCTTCTTCATGTACCATGTCCTTTCAGAACGTTGGTTACCATCATAGCTATTTTAATTTTATTCACTGCCACCCTAAATAGCATGCTTGTATCTACACCATACCAATCTCGCAAGTTCTTCAACCATGAGGTTCTTCTTCGTCCTGGACTGCGTTTGCCTACTATTTTTCCTTGCATGATATTTTGTAGCAATCTATATTTGGGACCTCTCATTACATGTCCGAAATATTCCAGCTTTCTCTGCTTGATGCTTTTTATGATCTCAGTAGTCTTGCTGAGACGTTCAAGTATTATGGAGTTACGAATCTTCTCCACCCAGGAAACTTTAAAATTCTTCTATAGCACCACATTTCGAAAGCCTCAAGGCGATTTAGATCGATTTTATTCACAGTCCAGGACTCGACAGCATAAAGTAAGACCGAGAACACGTAGCAGCGAAGTAGGCGGATCTTTAATGCCAGTTTTAGGTCTCTGTTACATAACCCTTGGACATCCTTCTAGAAGCAGCTCTATTCTGGATCTAATTTTATCAACTTGCTTAAGTTTGGTATTATTTACATATATAGACGGTTTTATATTCTGTTGTTTACTTATTACAAGTATTTTGGTTTTCCTTATGTTAAGATCCAGACCTGCCTCCCTACAACTCTCAACGACACTATCAAGTAGTGTTTGCAGATCTTCTTGACTAGAAGCTAGGAGTACTGTATCTTCGCCGTTCACAAGTATTCCTTCTTGTTTTTCAGAAAGTGCTTTTCTGGAAATTCTTTCGGAGTAAACGTTAAAAAGCAGGGGTGACAAGAGGCATCCCTGCCGTACTCCTCTTTTAATATTGAGAGCTTGTTTGATTCCAATATAAATTTGCAATTATTCGAACATCTCTGCCGTCCAAGCCAATGTCTTTTAGAGCTTCGATCAATATAGAGTGCTTAACACGATCAAATGCCTTTTGAAAGTCAATAAAACAACAGTATATGTCTACAGATATATCACGACATCTTTGAGCAAGTACGTTCATTCCAAACAGTGCCTCTCTCGTTCCAAATCCGTTACGGAAACCAAACTGAGTGTCATCCAGGTATTCCTCACATTTATTGTAGATACGACCATGTATTACCTTCAGAAAAATTTTCAATAAGTGGTTTAACAAACTGATGGTTCTATAATCAGCACAGGTTTTTGCTGTTGTCTTCTTAGGTAGAGCTATAAACAGTGAGTTAGACCAACCATTAGGTAGTTGTCCGCTGGTATAAATGGTATTGAAAAACGAAGTTATAGCCTCTAAAACATTGCTATCCTTTATAAGCTTATATATTTCAGTTGGAATTTCATCAGGACCAGTCGCTCTGCCATCTTTTGATGATTGTATGGCCTTTATAACCTCACAGCGTGTTATTAGGGGTCCGTCGCAGTTAGTAATATCGGGAGGTGAACTACTCCTATCGTCTTCGAATAGGTTCGTGACGTAATTTTCCCATTCTTTAAGTTTGTCCTCTACTTCGAATATTACTTTACCATTTTCATCCTGTAGCAATGCATTTTGTTTCTTATTGAAGATACCAGCCGCTTCTTTTACTTTTTTATACATGTTAAACGTGTCGTATCTTTTTTCGAGTTCTTCAATGTCATGACACTGTTTGGCTAGATGTTGACTCTTTGCTTCTCGTATTTTACGTCGAATTTCTTTTTGTATGCTATTGTAAAGTGTTTCGTTGGTTTTTGCTAGTCGCCGTTGTTCCATCAAATCCAGTATATCATCTGTCATCCAAGCCTGCTTTTTTGGCTTTGACCTGCCTTGTAAATTTCTCACACAGATTTCTTTTACTGTCGTTACGATTTTATTTAAGCCCTCATCGACGTTTTCACCAATATTTTCCCAAATTAAATTTTCGTTCAGTTGTCTTTGAACTGATTCCTTAACTTTCTCGTCTTGTAGTTGGGCTGTATCAATCTTTTTGCGAGACTTCTTTTTGATCACCTTTTTTAATTTTAATTGGGTTACAGCTACTATGGGATTGTGATCGGACCCAATGTCAGCACCTGGATAAGTTTTAACTGATTTGATGCAGTTTCTAAATCGATTTTTTATTAGAATGAAGTCGATTTGATTCCTAATAATTTTGTCCTCTGATTCTGCATTTGACTTCCAGGTGTAGAGTCTTCTCGGTGGTAGTTTAAAATGGGTATTCGATATAATGAAATCGTGTTCTTGACAGAACTGGACAAGTCGATCTCCACGTTCGTTTCTGTTTCCCAAGCCATATTCCCCCACAATGTTCAAACAGCGTCCTTTGCCGACTTTAGCGTTAAAATCTCCGAGGACTATGGTATTTTCTGCTGCTTTGACAAGATCTAGAGCATCAGTAAGATCTTTGTAGAATGCTTCTAATTTATCTTCATCACTAGATGATGTTGGGGCATAGACCTGAATTACGTTGGTAATGAACGGCTTTGAACTAAATTTTACTAGCATTACTCTGTCAGATATGGGAATATAAGTTAAAACTGATTGAGCTAAGTGTTTTGCTACTACGATTGCAACTCCATTATAGTGATTGGCATCTGTATTTCCGGCATGGTACACTTGATATCCATCTACGTCACATACTCCTGATCCCGGCCATCGCATTTCGCTTATTCCGAGGATGCTGATTTGCATTCTTTTCATTTCTTTTATGGCATTATATATTTTACCTGACTCAAACATGCTTCTGACGTTCCATGTGGCTATTTTGCAAGGATTTCGCATATTAACGACCTGAGAGGCCCTGCAGTCTTGAGATTGTCCTCTCTTGCCGGATCTTGGATTCCGAGATCCATGATCATTAATGTTTTGACTTAAATTATTTACAGCCATGATAGTTAAAACTAGGAGTGCCACAAGGCCTTTAATGCAGTAGTTCTCCTTTGCTTTCTGCATCCTTATGCCGTTGACTAATTTGTAGTTTTATAGTTCTTCCGCCTTCGGAATCAATTTCTCAATTCCAGGACAAAAGAGTGCCCTGCCACTTACCAACTCGTCCGCCCGAAGCCGTTGGTCAGTAAGTGGGGGATTGCTTATACCGACAATCGCTCGGACGCCAGAGCCTCGTTTGTTGTAAAGCAGGATGCACCGGATGATCAGAATCAAGATCATCACACGGGCAGGTGAGGTTGACATTTTGACAGGGGAGGCTATATATTGCGCATCACAGTCCCTTACATCCCTCTGCTACACAGGGAAGACTATATTCAATATTCTACTTTCTCCCTTAGCAACAATATTCATTTTAAGTGAGATTTAAAATGATTAGGATCTAATTTATTCCTGGGAGTGGCACACGCCCTCCATAGGTACCAAAGTCATATATTAAACCATCTATTATCCTGATCTCTTTTCTTCTAAACAGTAGAAAACTGTCAATAGCACTCGAAAATACTACTACTCTCTCTCAGTTCTTTATTTATTTATTCGCTCTAACTTTTCTCGGTCTACCTCGTTTTCTCTTTCTTTCTGGTTGTCATTTCAATATTTCTTTTGGTATTCGTTGTTCACCCATTCTTTGTATGTGTCCGAATCAGATAAAATGTTTTAAAGTTGGTCTCTGACTAGCCTGGTTTCTAGCCTCTGACCTATGTTGTATTAAACTTTCTTGAGCTGGTTTCAGTAATGTGTTTTTTATATTATACCACTTTTTATTTACATCCATAATTTGTTTGTTGTCAGTTAGTGTTTTTTGCATATTAAAATTCACATTATTTTTTAATTCGTTTTTTATTTCTTCGTTTTGTAGCATTCTTACGTTAATTTTTGGTTGTTGTTTTCTGAGTTCAATTCTTTTTAATTTTATTTTCACGTCAGCCACTAACGGATTGTGGTCTGAGTTAACATCTGCTCCAGGATAAGTTTTAACTGAGGTTATAGAGTTTTTATATCTGCTATTTACGAGTATAAAGTCTATCTGGTTTCTGACAATGTGGTTTTCTGTATGTGAAGGAGACGTCCATGTATATAGTCTTCTTTTAGGAAGCTGAAACCAAGTATTGGCAATTACCATATTCTTTTCTTGGCAGAATTCTATGAGCCTTTCTCCTCTCTCGTTTCTAGTTCCTAGTCCGAACTGTCCAACTATATTTTCAACTGTACCTACTCCAATTTTTGCATTAAAGTCTCCTAAAATGTAAGTAATATCTCTAGATTTTGTTAACTTGATTATATTGTGCAATTCTGAATAAAACTTTTCGATCTCTCGTCTTATCAGCTGTGGGAGCATAGACTTGGATCATATTAATATTACAGTTCCGTGCTTGAATTTTTAGCATTATTATTCTTTCTGAGATTTGAATCACACCTAGCACTAATTTTCTAATAGTGTTGCTTATGATGAAAGCTACTCCGTATCGATGATCAGTTTTGTCTCCTCCAGTGTAATAAATATTGTGGTTATTTATTGATATCTCTCCATTTCCTGACCATTGTACATCGCTAACCCCAAGTATATCTATATTTAGCCTCTCTTTCTCTTTAATAACATTGTGTAGTTTTCCAGGCTGATACATACTTCTTACATTCTAAATATTGTTAGCTTGCTGTCTCCATTGGTTGCAATTATGTACCAGATGGACAACTTAGTGAAGGGATTTTTCCACCAATCTTCCCATCGTGTTGGATATCTTCCTTTTGATATCCAAATGTAGATACCTCTATATTCATTAGTAATGGTTTGTTGTTAGTTCCATACCTTCTAAAATACTTTGCCTTAAAGTCCCATAATGTAGTTAATAAAGTGTAACCTCTAGCATGTCTGCGATCTTGCTCTTTAGAATCAACACAAATTGGCATGTAACTTAATGTAACTATTGCTCATGAGTAGAAAATCCATAGGATATAGATATATCTAAAGTTCATTCAAGTGCCCCTACTACAGGACATCCTGACGAAGAAGTCCAGTATTCTACGACCAAATATCCTGTGCAATCAAGGAAAATCCTGGCCACTTCTTAATAATAGGTGGTGACTTCAACGCCAAAATAGGCACTAAGGAAGACCCCTCTGAAATAATATTGGGAAATTTTGGAAGCGAAGGCAGAAATGATAGAGGCAAACAACTACTGACTTTCCTTTTGGAAAACAATCTCTATCAAATGAACAGCTTCTTTAAAAAGAAAAAACACAGAAGATGGACATGGGAAAGTCCTGATGGAAAAACAAGGAACGAAATCGACTATTTCTTAACAAACAAAAAAGAATTATTTAAAGACGTAAATGTGCTAAACCAGTTCAGTACAAGCAGTGATCATAGGTTAGTAAGAGCTAAAATAACGATATCAACCGAAAAAGAAAGACTCAAAATGATAAATAAGAAACAACCAAAGAAATGGACAAAACCAACTAACATTCAGGAGTTCGAAAAATATATTGGTAATTCATTGAAAGATACAACAACAGCTGACATCATTATATTGAACAAACAAATAGTCAACACAATGCAACAGGCTCAAACTAAATATTGTCCGACAAGCAAAAAAGATGAAAAACTGAGTCAACCCACGAAAACCCTTATAGAATTAAGGCGACAAATGAAAGGAGATAACACTACAAGCAAAGAAGCGATAGATAAAGAAATAGAACTCGTAGATAGATATAAATACCTGGGACATGAAATTATCATTGGCAGGGATAACCAGACTCATGAACTGAAGAGAAGAATCGGCCTTGGGTGGGCAGCATTTGGAAAACTGAGAGAAACTTTTAAAAGTGAGCTGCCCACATGCCTAAAGAGAAAGGTATTTGATCAGTGCGTCCTCCCAGTCTTGACGTACGGAGCAGAAACACTTACCTTAACAAAAGCAGCAGCTACCAAACTGAGAGTCACGCAGAGAAGAATGGAGCGGTCCATGTTAGGAATAACTCTGCGAGACAGAATAACCAACGAAGACATCAGGAGAAGAACCGGAGTGACTGACATCATCGAGAAGATAGCCAGACTAAAATGGAGATGGGCAGGACACATAGCCAGAATGACAGATGGGCGATGGACAAAGAGGTTATTGGAATGGAGGCCAAGGGAAGACAAGAGAAGCGTCGGTCGACCACCTACAAGATGGACTGACGATTTAAGAAGACTCAATAAAAACTGGATAAGAGCGGCGCAAGATAGACGGGGTTGGAAACATGAGGAAGAGGCCTATGTTCAGCAGTGGACTCTTGAGGCTGGATGATGATGAGACGATCCATGAAAATCTAAAATAATGAAATATTATTAAAATTAAGAATGTATGACTTTTTTTTATAAAATAAGGCCAATTTTAGGAATGCAATTAAAAGAGTCAAGAGTTTTTTTTATAAAATAAGGCAACTTTTAGGAATGCAATGATAAGAGTTAAGAGTTTTAATGATTTTAAAATATATATAGTATATAAATATAAGATTAATGTTAGTTAAGATTTAAAGGTAATTTAACTACAAAAACAAAATAGTATCAAGTTTGTATTTACTAAAAGTTTGGTATAATTAGGTGCTGTTCTTACCTGGTGCTTGTAAAAATAAACTCCTAATCCTCAGAATGTTTAATAGCCATTTGTCCAACTTTAACTTTCACCCATCAACAAAAAATATTCTTTGATTGGAAATACTATACCATTTTGGTAATGTACCTTCTTCTTTAGCAGTGTTTATTAGATATATAAAAATTGATGTATACTGTTTTTATCGTCTATTCTATTTATCTTTTATTCTATTTTCTTCCATTTCAACGATGGTAAAATACAATTTTTACAATTTAAGATGATAATAACAGAACACAAAACTCAACTTGTGTTTTACCCTACTATGTGGGTATGTATTGTGCTTGCAACTTCGATACTATCTGTGATAAAGAGGGTGGCAGTATTAGGAAAAGTGGTAAGATTTAGCACACCTATCTTACAAAAAATTTTGTTATACAATATATTGTAGCCAAGAAATGTAGATTATCGTTTTTGTAAACGTAAACGGTTTAATATTTTGACCATAAAATTATTTATATGGAGGGGAAAATGTAGATTCTCAAGGTTAGAATTAAAATGGTTAATTGGTTGGTTAGAGTTAAAATGGTTGGCAAAAAATATAAAAAAAACTCAAAGTTTTCTTAATACAAAGATTATATAATTATTCTAATCCTAGTCTACATTTATAATAAAGTAACATGATGAAAACAGTCTCGTAGCAGGATCTTTGACAGTAAATCTAATATCATGTTTGCCTTTTGTTAGCGTCCCTTCTAAATTTTTGGCCCAGCTCGGAAAACTTGTCACATATTTCCAATTGACGTCTGTAATTGGCGATGAGAACCGTATATGAACCGTATCCGTGCCGTTTTCGGTCACTAAATTTTGTGAAGTTGGACAGGTTAGTACGGGTGGTGGAGCTTCTAAAACAAAAAAAAATAAAAATAAAATAAAATTATTGACGGTTATTAAGAATATAAGGTACCTATAAAAAAACACAAAGACATAAACCCATAAAACAAAGTTTAGTAATTGTTGATTTGTATTGTGCTTACGAAAATATAGGTATACAGATATAGACAACTGACTCTCCTAATGCTCCAGCACTTTTATTAAAAATTTTAATTTCTGAAACCCAAATAAATATAAAAGATCACCCTGCTAACAATAAGAGCTGTTTAGTATACAGGAGACTAGTAGAAAACAGCTAAGCCAACAGTCACCCGGGCCAACAGACGCGGCCCGGGTAGACGACAAATGACCTGGCTGCGCAACATCAAAGATTGGACAGGATTAGACTTTCAAAGTTTAATAAGGAAAGCCCAAAATAGGGAAGACTTTGCAGAGGTCATCGCCAACCTTCGCTAAGAAAACGGCACCCAAAGAAGAAGATAAACAACTCACCACCTCCTCGACTCACGTCAAAAAACATCAACTGTACGCAAACCAACACATACCACAAATTTTCCTCTACACATTCGCCAACTCATTGCTCGATTAATTGAATATTTCAAACAGTAATTAAAAAAAAACTAAAATGATACTAAATGAAATGAAACTGTCGGGTAGTAACTACATGTTGTGAAGATTTATGAGTATATTACCTATACACTTTCCATTTTGTTTTCCTTGCCATTCCCCATTTATTCCGCACACAAAATTATAATCTCCTGTTAATTTATATCCATAAGGACATACAAGTTCACAAGCAGTGCCAGGACTATTAATAATTCTTCTACGACCTTTTTTGGTAAACGATTGGAAAGCTCCTTTTCTTGTACATCTAATGAAACCTCTAGTTGGTGGAAAAAGAGGTTTGCATACTACATTGTTCGTAGACTGATCGCTTTGCATATCTGTCATGTCGAGGCACATATAGGAGCCTTGAGTGTTAATGCAGGTTTTGCAGGTTTGTAACATTTCTTCTGTTTCACATTCATTTATATCTAGAAAAAAAATGTACATTATGTCAACACGCTACCCATCGTTTTAAATTATTTATTGTTATGAATTATTATCGAAAATATATTTTAATAATGCAATTAAGAATTCCAAAAATACTTTTCGTAGTTTCAAATTATATAAATTTTTTTACCTTGACATGTTTTCCAATCTGAGGATAACTCCATGCCATCGGGACAACTACAAAATGAGCGACCAAGAGCATTAATGCAGTTATGGGAACAACCACCATTATTAGTTTTGCACTCGTCTACATCTTCGCAAGAGTGGCCATCAGTACCTTGAAATTGAAACACAAAATACATCACACAAAATAATGTAACAATTTTTAATAAATTAATCAAAGTTGGCTATAACCATTGCAAATTCGTCTTTATCTTCTGCTTTCCTTTTTCCCCCTTTTTCTTCGATTTTACCCTTTATAATCAGCTGTAACAACTCGTACTTATAATATTCTAAGTATGTGCCCCAAATACGCTATCTTTCGCCTTTTATTGATGGTCAAAAGTTCCCTGTCTCTTCCCATTCTGTGCAGCATCATTTCGTTCGTAATAAGATCGGTCCACGGTGTCTTCAAAATTCTTATATAAAGCCACATCCCAAAAGCTTCCATGTTTACTTATTAAGTCAACATTAACACTCCAGGTTTCGACACCACAAAGAAGAATAGAGTGGATATAACATTTTAACATCCATATCGGATTTGCAGATTGAGTCTCTGGTTACTCAGAAATTTCCTCATCTTCAAAAAGGCTGCTCTTGATTTCTGATTTCGGATTCAGATCTTCCGTAATCCAGACTCTAAGTATTTCATTTTGTTCACTTGCTCAATATCTTCATTTTTTATCTGGATCCTTGTAATGACTTTGCCCCTCTTATTGATAACCACGGTTTTTGCTCTCTTTATGTTTATTGTTAAACTAAATTGTTCCCCAGTATCACAAATTGTGTTTAGTAACTTCTGCAGTCTGTCTCACTTTCAGCGATAATGACTGTATCGTCAGCATAACGAATGTTATTTATATTTTCACTATTTATCTTGATCCTTTCTGTACAGTTTTCAAGTGCTTGCGTAAATAACTCTTCGGAATATATATTAAATAGTAATTGTGAAAGTACACAGCTCTGTCTTACTCATCGAGCAAAAACACAAAAGAGGGAATATAATCCCTATGAAAAGGAGACCAAAAAAGTGGCCTCTGATGGCGGACACATCCGGAAATGCAAATGTGCCACATTTAAATTGTCCGACACTTATTAACAGTAGCTATATAATATTTTTCAGAATGTGTCTTAGACGAGAAAGTTTTAATTAATTATTAACGATAATAGTCTAAAATGCGACACAATTGTTAAAAAACTTCAATATAAATAAGATTTCATGTGACATTTGGGACAAACAATAACATAACCCAACTAAATTTGATGTCAAACAAGGAGAGAGACTCTCTTTCCTTGTTTAATGTGGCCTCTAAAGATCGCACTTCCTGTCTAACAATATTTTTGCCCCCACTACCTTTACATTCTCTCTTTTGTCTTTTTGCTCGATGGTCTTACTCCTCTACTTATATGTTGCGCATTCGTGCTATTTCCGCCTAATGTTACCACAGTCTGTTGGTTCCATTGTAGATATAATGTAACTTATTTCTTAATAATACAATTTTGAACAATATGTTTTTTGTTTGTAAGGCCAATAGATCAGGATGAATAATTTTTGATACCAAAAAAATAGTAATATAATAAAACTCACTGTAAAATGAAGAAAATATTTATATTATTTATTATAATAATATTAAATATAATAATATTAAATACTTATAAATGAAGAACAAAAATTTTAAGTTTTTGACCGAAGAAGGCCGATGGGACCACAAGTCAGAGGAAGACTGAGACTTAGGTATTAAGACAACTTGAAGGACGATTAAAAAAATCTATTAGAGTTATAGTATAGAGGGTCAAAACTTCCAGACTTTCAGTGGGACAAAAACAGACTATTTGGAATGTCCATTTAAATATGAAGTTAGTACAAACAGAATGATATATTTTAATGGTGAAATGATTGTAAAAAGTAATAGTTTTAAGTACCTGGGATCAATGTACAGAGTAATGGGGCAATAGATGAAGTTGCATGCAGTAGAATCGGGGTTGGATGGATAAAGTGGGAGGAAGCGAGTGGTGGGTTGTGCAACAGAAACATTTTCTATCTATCTAATTAGCCTTCTTCGGTCCATCTTTGGACATAGGCCTCCCCAATCCTTTTCCATTCTTCTCTGTCTGTCGCTACAGTCATCCATCTAGCCACGTGCTTCTTGATATCATCTGCCATCTCATTGGGGCCTTCCTCTGCTTCGTTTATATTCCCACGGTCTCCAACTTATAAGAATTTTGTTCCATCGGTCTTCTTTTTGTCTTATATTGTGTCCGGCAAATCTCCATTTCAATTTTGCAACTTCTTGTCTAACATCCCTCACTTTTGTTTTCTCTCTTATCCACTCGTTTCTCTTTTTATCCATTAGTCTTATGTGCAACATTTGTCTTTCCATTGCTCTTTGGGTTTTTATGATTTTGTCCATGTTTGCTTTTGTAAATGTCCAAGTTTGGGAACCATAAGTAAGAACAGGGAGTACGCATTGATTATATACTTTGGTCTTAAGATGCTGTGGATATCTTTTGTTTTTAAGAATGTAGCTTAGTTTGCCAAATGCCGCCCATGCCAGTCTAACTCGTCTCTTGATCTCTGCTGTTTGGTTCTCTTTGTTAAGTTTTATAGTTAGACCAAGATATATATAATCCTTAACTTGTTCTATTTTATCTTGTCCGATTCTCATTGTGATGTCTTCATCTGTATTCAGATGAAGAAACATTTTAATGGAACAAAATGGAAAATTCTATAAAACAGCCATAAGACCAGCTATAATGTACGGAACTGAATGTTGAGCAATTCAAAATAAAAAGGAACAACGAATGCATGTGACGGGAATGCAAATGCTTAGATGGATGAGTGGAGTGACAAAAAAGAATAAAATTAGGAATAAGCATATTTGGGAAAGTCTAGGGGTGATACAAATTGTTGCCAAGATGAGAGAGATAGGTTAAGATTGTTTGGTCATGTTCAATGTAGAGACGTTAATCACCCAATACGAAGAATTCGTAATCTGCGGGTTCCTGAAAGTAGTAAGAGGGAAGACCAAAAAAGACCTGAGAGAGACGCGGTCATGTCGGTAAAGGGTATTAATAATTGATATGACGCAAGATAGATACTTATAATGGAGAAGTGTAATTAGGGAATCTGACCTAACATAAAGATAAAGGCAAAGAGAATGATGATGATGAAGATTTAGATCATAGAGAAAAGTTACCAGAGACAGGAGTAAATGGAGGATTATTCTAACGAAGGCTTTGGTTCATAATGAGCTGTGCCTCCTCTAATGATGATGATGATTGAAGGCCTAAGATAGAAATTTGTGGATAAACGATTACAGAGAAGCTGATTATATATAGAGATTAAGTTAAAACATAAAAATGATGATTTGTAACATGTTACTTAACTGAACTCAATCAAACAACTTTGGTATATGCCACTACAAAGTAGTAAATTTTTTTTAATTCATGAAGTATTTTTTTTAAATTAAAAATATGTGTAATCTATGTAACAAACTTACTTAATTTGGTTCCTTTAAGACCTGCACAGCTACAATTGTATGACCCAAAAGTATTGCGGCAAGTATCTTGGCATGGCCCGTGTCCATTTCTTAGTAAGCACTCGTTGATATCCTGGCAGGATTTTCTGTCATCGGCAGTGGTGAATCCAGTTGGACATTTACAAGAATATGATCCTATTTGATTTACGCACTCTTTTTCGCAACCTCCGTTATTGGTTTTACACTCATCTATATCTAAAAGTAAATTTAAAAATTTCTTAAGTTGAGTTGGGAATATTTCAAATTAGAAGCAGTTAAATTTTTTCATGGAAGGCGTCTATTATAGTGGTCTTGTTTCAGCCAGTTGGTTTATTGAAATCTTTCATTCCTTACTTATATAAAAGATATAGAAATAAAAATAGCACGGGAAAAACGAGCGAAGATAACACTTAACCTCGGGAACCTTTTTTGTATGGTGCTAGAAAGATCACCAATAGAGACACTGCAAACGGCAGATAGATGGTTGGTGGAGAGCGAATAGGGTGTTCAAAACTAGCTTTTGGAACTGGGAATTGATCTAACAGAAGAAATAATAAAGATAAGACAAGATAAGATAGATTAAAAAAGACACAGAAATAGATAACAAAAGAGATAGGTAAAATTATCAAAGATAAGAGAAGATAAAAAAAAAGGGCGCCGCTTAACTTTTTGGAGTTGATAATTAGGTCCTGAGAGCAAATACAGGAAAAGATATTAATAGTTAATCATTAAATAAATGTGGTTAACACACTACATAAACAAATAATAAATAATATGTTCAGTGGAATTCGTCCACCTACTTACCTACAAATATATACAGTCTGATCTTTCTTCTGGTGAAACATATCGTGATAGTTAAATATTTTTATTAGCAATTAAACAGAGATACCCTATTATCAGGAAACTTATTAGAAGTAGATAAATAAAATTCAGTAGGTAAACAAAACAAAATAAATTCAATAACTGAATCACCAGATCACCCTATTTTGGTGCATGGGATGCCCACCAACTGAAAATTCGTCTAATCGCTTAGACTACTCAACAAAAAGTGATTCTCTCTTTTTCAAATTAGACAAACTATCCCCTAGAATAGAATAATCTTTACTTAAAGAACTCACTCTTAACAAAAACCGACTTATATTTATTTTCGGCGTATAGACATTATTTTTTTTAAAAGTAAGGAAAAAGGCAAATAACTACATTATTTAGGGAAAGATTATCTTTGAAGTAAAGCTATTTGTAAGAAAAACCACATTTTATTACTTCCTTCCTAGCTCTATAAAAAAAGGGGCCTAAATGTTCTTTATTTCCAAAAAATGACGATTGTTCTTGAATTTCTAACAAAGCAGTCATTAAATACAAAAGACTAAATAGAATAATTCGAAAAAAAATAACCGAAGCAAAAGAGAAATGGCTGGAAACAAAATGCGTTGAAATAGAAGAACTGCAACAAAGGCACGATTTTTTAAATTTACATAAAAAGGTAAAAGAGTTTACATCGACTACCAAGAGAACGACTTTTCACACCATGCTTAACACGGATGGCAAACTGCTAGAATCAACGGAAGATAAACTGAAAGAATGGGAAAACTATATTAAAATTCTTTTTCACGTCATACGAGAAGAACCAAGATTGGAAAATAACAATGAAGGGCCAATAATTCTGAAATCTGAAATCATAAATGCAATTAATCATCTCAAAACAAATAAAAGCCCAGGTTCAGACGGAATATACCCAGAAACGTTAAAATTAATCAGCGAAGAAAATATCGAAATATTTGTCCTTTTATTCAATCGCATTTATGATACAGGTAAAATACCCCAAGATTGGTTGGAGTCAATATTCATCCCACTACCAAAAAAGCCAAACCCACAACACTGCAATGAGTTCCGTCTGATAAGCCTTATGAGTCATGCAGTAAAAGTCCTACTAAAAATCGTACATAATCGTATCTATAGAAAGTGCGAAACAATCATTGGAGACGATCAGTTTGGATTCAGAGCCGGCATGGGAACGAGAGAAGCCCTGTTCAGTTTACTAGTTCTCACCCAAAAATGCTACGACCAACAGAAAGATATATTTATATGCTTTATAGACTTCGAAAAAGCATTTAATAGAGTAAGACACGACCTACTATTAGCACGTTTGCAAGAAATCGGTTTAGATGGAAAAGACATCAAATTCTTAAAAAACTTGTACTGGAACCAAAACGCCAGAGTTAGGATCGAAGGTTCCACATCCGCAGAAGTAGAAATTAGGAGGGGAGTTAGACAAGGATGTGTTCTGTCGCCTCTGCTGTTTAATCTTTACTCTGAGTTTCTATTTAAAAAAGCATTGGAGAATTCCAAGGATGGAGTCAATGTGAATGGCGTAAATATCAACAGTATCAGATACGCCGATGATACAGTATTAATTGCGGATTCCGACTTAGGTCTACAACGACTCATCGACAAGACCAACTCGACCTGTGAGCAATTTGGTATGAAAATAAACATTAAAAAAACCAAAGTGATGTCAATCCGAAAAAACCAAAACGTACCTCAACCTTGCACAATAAATGGGCATATTTTAGAACAGGTCAATAGATTTAAGTACCTGGGATGTTGTATCGATAGCAGCCTAAATCCTGATCTAGAAATAAGATCTAGAATAGAACAGGCCAGAAAATCTTTCGAAAAAATAAAAAAACCGCTTTGTGATTCTCGAATAAAACTCGAAATTCGACTACGTTTATCAAAATGCTACGTCTGATCGACTCTTCTATATGCAGTCGAAACGTGGACCCTTAAAACATCAACAGTAAATAAATTGGAGGCCTTTGAAATGTGGATCTACCGGAGAATACTGAAAAATTTCATGGACATCGCATACCTCAAACGAAGAAGTGCTGCATAGAATAGGCAAGGAAAGAGAACTTTTTAACACAGTAAAAGTTAGAAAAACATCATACCTAGGCCACATACTGAGAAATAATAAGTACCAATATGCCCAACTTATAGTGAAAGGAAAAATCGAGGGAAAGAGAGGCCTAGGAAGGAAAAGACTTTCGTGGTTCAGAAACATCCGACAATAGACAGGGCTAAATTTTGAACAGCTAATAAGAACAGCTGAAGATAGAGAAGAATTTAAAATTGTAGTAGCCAACCTCCATTGAGAAGAGGGCACTTTAAGAAGAAGAAGTCATTAAATAATCTACATAGTTCCGTACTTCTTTTAAGGAATAAAAAAGCTGAAAGATATAGAAATAATTAGGTGTATAAAGAAACAAAATTTTCAAGTACCGTTACCTTCTCATAAAAGACTATATCGGCACCTCTCGTACCAAAGAGATTACAATAATACCTATATAAAATATGGGATTTTAGATCTACTTTTAAAACATCGTTATTAGTTTCGGTGGGGCGCAAAAGGAAGATTTTTTAATACGGTCACTGGAGTAGCTGCGGTAATTGCAAAGGGTTTTTAAAATTAATTTTGAAGTAATATATAATAATTAGTTACTAATTTACTTATACAAAAAATGTTACACACTTCATGGAGTGATAAAAAACAACACTCTAACCAAACAAAAAATCTTTCAGAATATAGTGTAGTGCTGAATATTACAATATGTGGAGCGAAAGTGTGGCCAATGACAACAGTTATGGGAATTAAAATAAAAACAGGTGAATTCGAATATATAGGAAGATGCATACAAATTAACAGAGAGGATAGCATGAAAACAGAGGAAATGTGGAACACAATGGAAGTAGAATGCTCAATTAGAAAAAAAGTTGGAAAACAGAGCTCTGCATTACTGACTTATACAAAAATTACAGGACACAGGTGGCCGACAAGAATATTCTACTGGGACTAGCCGAGAAGAAGACCAAGGGACCACCTGATATACGATGGAAAATGTACATAGAGGATGGCATAATAGATAGAGACCTCAGAAAAGGTAACTGGGAGAATAGAGTGCTGTGGAGGAAGAAATTATTGTAAATTAAATTTAAAAATTGATGGATTTGGAGTTGACCTTTTTGAAGTTCAATTTTTTGAGCTATTGGTTTAATTTATTTTTAATATAGATAGTTGTGGTTATTGTAAAAAGAGTTTTGTTAAAAGTAAACTATTTCCGTGCAACATCTGCAGTTTTATAACTATGAACTGAATGTGATAAGCTGACTGCATCAAAGGTTAATTTCAAACATAACTGTAATTTTAAAACTTTAGTCTAATCAGTCAACCTTTAAAGTTGAACGCAAAGGGCATTTTAAACACATTTTACTGTGTTAGCAAAGTAAGGACAGGTTTGAAATTACTTACCATAACAAGATTTTTGATCTGAACCTAAATAAAAACCTTCCAAACATGAGCATTTCACAATCCCCTTTGGATTACAGATATGTGCACATCCACCTCTATTCTTTCGGCAACGGCTGAACTTCTTTTCAAAATTGTGTTTGGCAGTTGTCGTAAACTTGGATTCTAGAATTATAAAAAATTATAAAGTCAGCCGAAAAACGCTGGATACGATAAATATGCTATCATTTTGTATGTTTTATTATTGTTGGTGCATACCATAATTATCAGCCGTTTTGAGTCTAGTGCTGGACATAGGCCTCCCGTAAATAATTCCAATGCTTCTATCTTGAGCACCCTGGATCCAGTTGTGATGAATGTATTTAATTCTAATTTAATCTCGTGGCCCAGATATTTATAGCTACACACCTGTTCAATTTGCGTGCCGTTAGTTGAGATGTTTTTCGTCAGTACAAGGTTGGCCATATATTGGGTTTTGATTGCTGTGAGGAGGTAGATAGAATATTCTGTCTACCTCCTCACAGCAATCAATGGTCGGGTTCTTACACCCGTACCATGACAAAAAATTTTTCAATTTTTTAATGTGTCTGTGAAGTCCAGTGTCGGTTTTTTATGTTTTTTTTTTAAGAATTTTAACAACTAAAAAATCAATATTTCGACATATAAGGAAATGAGATCTCTCCATTGTAGTGGTATTTATAAATTGACCATAGCTCCGATGATGGCTTTGTAAAGCCGAAAGCGCTCAGCTAGGAATTATTTAAAATATACACACTTCAAAAATACTTTTTTACCTTTTCTTCTGACTTGTCATAAGTGTATACAAAAAACATATCAGTCTTTTGATTACTATTATTGTGTCAGTATTGTACGTTAGACATAAGTCTTTTTCAAGCCGTCTGGTTATGTTAACTCGATTTTGTCAATTTGTGAGTTAAGCCACTATTGCATACAGCCGACGAAATACAATTTAAAAACAAAATTCCATACCTACTTACCATTATTTGATGTAACTAAATCAGTTATATTAGCTAGGGGGTCAAAAAACGTACTTTGTGAGGCCAAAACTAATTTCTCAGTTTTTTGTTTATACTTGAATTCGTCAAAATTGTCCTCTGGATTCTTGTTTAGTTTCTCGATAAGTTTATTAAGAGTATCGTTTGAATCAGTCTTTGTGGAGATAATAATCCCTTTCGTCGTAGTTACTTCTGCCAATCGTGCCGGTACTTTTTGTTTCCTACGTCGTTTTCTAAATTTTCTTCTTCGTAAGACCGGTCTTCTATTGAGAGTATTCGATTCGGACGCATTACGATTGTTATGTCGGTTTAAATTGTTTCCTGAAAGTGTAAAAAATTTAATAGTTTATTATATATAAACATTATACCTATACAAAGTATAAAAGATGCAAAAGATGCAAAAGATGCAGTGATGACAAATATCTACAGAACTTGAACTAAAACCTCTTTTCCCAATATTCATTGTTTTTATCATTACCTATCCTTCTCCTTCTTGCTCTTCTTTTTAATGGACGCGCACTTCCAGCTCGCTTCCTACCAGTTCGCCTGTTACCTTTTCGAAGTGATTTTGTAATGTTTATATGTTTAAGAGTATTTTCAATTAGTTCATTACTAATTATTTCGTTGTCTGCTGTCCTGGCAATGCGTTCTAAGCTCTTCTTGGACAAGGATTCTATAGCAGTTGAGTCAAATGCTAGAGTAAACTCTAAAAAACAAAAGATAATAGATTAGTAAATAATTTTAATCACTATAGTCACTATTTTATTCACAATTTTAATCAATATATAGAAATTTTTCAGTAAGGTTATTGTTTTTTTTTTCATATTTAAATTTATATATCTTTCTATATACTCTCCACAAATATGTCGATATGTGCTCCCCACGTTAATTTTTCGCAAGATGAGGGCCCGAAAATGTGACTTCATTTTGTAAGAGTGTAAGTTTTGTGACTTCAGTTGGTAAGAGAAACAAAAAATGAACACTGAACAGTTTACAAAAAAGGAAGGAAAGCGACTTCTACATTATACAAAAACAAATATGGGGATTCATGAGAATCCAACGGAAAGAAATGGCAGAATTGAAGGAAGGCAATTCACCAGGACTAGACGGAATAATCAACGGCCATTGAGTACAATATACCAGCATATCTGTTTTACAGACCTGACAAAGGCTTCCGATCGCATCTAAGTCGAAGACGTCTTACACCTACTGTATAAAAAAACACACCAATCAATATTACACAAACCATCGAAAACATCTACTTCTATAATCGAATACAGGCAAAGATAAATGGAAAACTAACACAGTATATACCAGTACAAAGCGAAGTCAGACAGGGTGACACGTTAAGCCCACTTCTCTTTAATATAATAATGGACGAAATAATACAAGCAGTACGTTAAGGTTATGGTTACAGAATGGGGAACAAAGAATTCCAAGTATTATGTGATTCAGATGACGCCACATTAATCGCCAAGACAGAAGTTAAGACAAAGATTAACACACATCTTTAATACAACAGCCAAGAAATACAATATGATAATATCAGCAGAAAAAACCAAATGTATGACATCATAAATATCCGCTACGATGTAAAATCGAAATTGATGGGAAAATAAGAAAGCAGGAGGCAAGCTTTAGATATCTGGGAATAGATATATCTAGTTACGGAGATGTTGAAGAAGAAGTACGACAACAAAGCTTAAAAGCAAGTGAAGCGGCGGGATCTAAAGCAATTAGACCTATATTAACATACACGGCGGAAACAAGACCTGACACATCTAAAACGAGAAGACTACTAGAAACAACAGAGATGAAAATACTTCGACGAATATCATGGTGAAGAAAAACATATAATGGATGGGTGACAAAACGGAAACATGAATGGAACGAACACATTAGTAGAATGTCAGAGGACAGGATAATACAAATAGCACGAGATAAGTCACCAAATGGACGAAGAAGTATTGACAGACCAAGAAAAATATAGTGCAATAATTTAAACAATTTAGGAGGCTAATATTGACGAAGAAACAGGCTTTAAAGCCTACATACAAGAAGAAAGAAGAAAAAGAAGTTAAGTTTAAGTTCTTAAAAACTACATTATGCATTTGCATTAGTCAATCTATAGAATAGAGATGTTATGTAATAACGAAATTATGTAAACACATTTTCCGAAATACCCCAATACTTTATTAAAGGATATCATGAATGTTATTTCAATAATTAAGATACACATGTTCATTATCCATTATCGTTTAAGTTATATACAAAGACTATTTCAGAAATAATTTAATATATGCTTGACTCCGTCACGTCGCTATTCCAAATATGGATAACTCCTTGAAATATTGAAATCTCATCGATCAATTGCATTAAAAAGTAAACTGTTTACTCGTACGTCATAGAAAATAAGTAGTCAATTCTTTAAAAAGGAGTGAATGGTAATCATATATTATTCGAGTGTAATAAGTTAACATTGTATAAATCAATTTGACTTTTAGAAGTTTAGGATCTGGTTACCAATATTGAAAGAGGAAGTTATTAATAAGAAAATACCAGTATTAGTAAGTCAGTAACATATAGAGGATACATCATTTATGTTTTTTTATATAACGTAACATATAAAATCAGAATTTTGATGTTTGTTGAAGGTAAACTAAATTCACGAACAAATACTTACAATGTCGGGATAGTATTATGAGGTTTTTTCCTGGTTTTTCCCTCATAATTTACTATGGAATCACTAACAGGAGAATTTTACTGTCATCATGTCATGTGTTTGTCTTTTTAAAGACGAATTACATGCTATGATTTTTTTCTGACGGATATTCTCAAGTTAAAGTTGATTTCATGTAATCGAATGAACTATCTTATAAGTAAAGTCGTCCCAGGAGCGCAACTCAACAATATTGGCAATATCATTTTAAAGTCGTCTACTTTAAAATGCATAATGTATGTCTGAATTGTCAATATAAATGAGTCAGATAAAATTAAATTATTAGAAGAATTTTTCACTATGTAACAAAAAACAAAATTTGTTTAATTTACTGTTTGTATTTTGAGAACGATTTCCGAAGTGGAAATTGAAACGTCAATAAACGTATTTTTATCTTTAATTGTGGCTTATTCCCAGTTAAATAGTAATTAATTTACAATGCCACAAGAAAATAGCTTCAGAACAATAAAATAGTAAAAGTATCTAAAGGACGGAGACTGGAGGAGGAATATCATTGGACGACCTAAAAAACGCTTGAATGACTGATTGTTAAGGAGATACCGAAGATTAAACAGACATTTTGACTATTAAGAAGAATTAAGAAGAAAAGAAAAAAGAAAAGGAAAGGAGGAATAATTGATATAATTTTTATATAGATAGGTCTTTGAAATACCTCATCCATATTCGTTGAGTAACCACTTCTATTTGTATATAGTATTAAATACTAATATTTATTATATTATTATTTAATATCAACAATAATTACTTACATACTATTTTGTTTATTTTAAAGATCTTTTGAATCCGTCATTAATTTTTAATTATATTTCAAATTGTCTATAATATTTCCCAAAGTGATAACATTTTACGCAACATTGAACCTTAATAAGAGCAATTCCTCGGCAAATGGTGTCTTTTAAATGCAATAAACATTAATAACAGTTCATTGCCTAGATGTTTTTTCTGTAATTGAAACTATGCAGATGCATGCCATTCTAAATTTGTAACTTGAAGATTGAGCAAATTCCCCATGGGTGGCAAGTGTCTGAAAATAAGTGATCCATTAAAGTATTATTTATTGACTGCAACAATAAGACTGCATCTTTAAACATTCCTACATGATAATGTAATTCGTATTTTACGGTAATATCAGCAACTCGGTCAATGGGAAAAAAATTATATTTGTTCTATATCTCTTAATATTTTGTCACGATTTTGTAACTTCTTCAGGAAAAATAGTGCAAATTTATTAGAATGATTAGATGCTAACAAAGGCTGAATATTTCTTACTTACATTATAAGTTCGTAGCAGTCACCTCATCCCGTGAGGACAGGAGTGGCGTCCTCCGTACGCTAGCTACTGACTTTCTCCTATGTCCAAGCCTTTAGGAGAGGCCAGGTCTCCAACCTACCTTCCTACCCATTTTCCAATCCTTACCACATCCTGATATATCCCGCTACCAACCCGCACTGGCCAGCGTGGTAGTGAAATGGCTAATTTTCCCCGTAAATGACATGACACAAACTAGAAAAAGGCCCTTAGTTCCCGGCGGCCCAACGGTCCCTGGTGACGGTAGCCATCAGATTGGACCAAGGGCAGAGGGTGCAAAGAATCACCGGGATAGACGCAGCTACCATGGACAACGAACATTGCATATTGGCAATTATAACGTAAGAACGCTTGCAACTAAGCATAGACAGCATACACCTAACGATGGTGATCTATTTATATGCCACAACTGCTTCAATCTGCAAGATAGTAATTCAGATGCTAATAACAGTAACCAAGACAGTGAGGATGAAGACATTGACGAACTTTTCACTTAATACAAAGAAGCATGGAAGCCATTATAAAATCTAATTTTGTCAATTGTATATAGGTCCCCATAGCGCAGAGAAATCTTTGGTACTTCTTGTCATTTTCACTTGTTTCTAGTTTTTTATTGTGTTGAAGCAGTTGTCCAATAACTAATTTTGAGTGTTCTGTAACTAAATGAACTGTCCAATAACTATAATTTTTTGTAACTATTTTTGACTATGTTGTCGCACTTTTATTAAATTTTTAGTGAACGATCAAATCTTACCAAAAATAGAACAACCATAATGAAGTATCAAATTATAAGGTAATTAATTTAAACAAATGTTATAAATTTCAAACATTTTAATTGAAATGATAAACTGAGTCACTGCACAACAAAAAACAGTAACTACTAACAATAACGAAGAACAATTAAAAAAAAAACTAAAAATATGTACATAGTTATGATAAACCCATAAATTAGAACTGGAAAAGATACAATAATGGTAACAAAATAAAAATAATTCAAAATAGATTTTCGAAATGGAACCCTGCAGCCTGTACACATTTTTGTTGCCGAATTGTTAATTGACGTATTGAATTACGGATACTCTGGGGATCGTTTCTAATAGTATTACAACAATGTATAATTCTATCAATTAATTGTTGTCGGTTATTAATATTCACTGCGTAAACTAGTTGCTTCAATCGTCCCCAAATATGGTAATCAACGGGATTGAAATCAGGGGATCTTGAAGGCCACGAAATAGGACCTGCACGTCCTATCCACCTGTTGCCATAAACATTATTGAGATGTTGTCTCACTGCCAGTAAAAAGTGTGGGGGTGCCCCATCATGCTGAAAATACATCCCTCGGATAGCAACGTTCGCGTTGGCAAGCAAATTCGGCAAAATATTTTGTAGAAAGTTCAAATAGACCTGCCCTGTTAAAGGACCATCAAAAAAGTGAGGACCTACTAATTGGTTATTTATGACACCAATCCACACGTTAACCGAAAACCTTAACTGAGAACGACGTTCTCGAATAGCATGGGGATTTTCTTCTGCCCACACATGTGAATTTCGTGAATTATTTATCCCGTCTCTGGTAAATTGGGCTTCATCTGTAAATAGTGTCCTGTATAGCGTTGGTCGATTATTGTTAATCCATCTACAAAATTCCAACCTA